TTCGTTCTTTCCTTTTCCTAGTGGTTAGGACGATCCCCTTCTAGGTGAGTATCATGTGTTTATAGAAGAGATTAATATGCATGCATGTCTCGATCTACAATATGCTCGTTCCGTTGATTGATTTTGTCGGGCACTTCAAACGTTAGAAAGTTCGAAAAATATGTGGTAAATTATTTTTCGAAAAAGAAAGAGAGTCTAAAGAATCTCCAATCTCGGTTTTGAAGTTCTAGGATAGGAAATGCAATGTGGTAAACACAATGGTACAAATGATTGTGAAATGTTCTGACATCTCTCGTGCCATTAGTACTTTTCCATCAGGAATCTGTCTCTGACGAGTAAGAATATATAGCCTCCTTCAATCAAAAAAAAAAAAAAAAAAAAAAAAAAAAAAAAAAATCATTACGCATAGCCCCATCACAAGTTGCAACCTGCAATCAAAAAAAAAAAAAAAAATCATACGCATGCCCCATCACAGTGCAATGGATGATAGAACCCACCCACGATATATTGGATAACTTTTCAATTTGTTTTTTCCTGTCTCAACCACTTCTATTGGTCTTTCAATAATGATAGTCTCACACCTTTTAAAACCAATGAAAACTAGGTGTTGAACAAGCAACTTGACACGTTAGATTTAGTAGTCTAATGCTCTAAAAGTTGAAAATATTTATAATATATATTACCACCTAAATATTAATTATTCTATAACTACTAACTATATATTATATAAATAGGACTAAAATAATGTACTTCATTTATTTTCTATTAATTTTATTTAATATATAGTGCTAGAGTCGTACTCAAAATTAATTGTTACATCGCAATCAAACTTTAATAAATAGGGAGAAAAGGAACGTGGGCAGTTAGTACGGTAAATAACTAAACATATTCCATTGAGAGTTGGGATCCTTAAATTAAATCCTATGGACGGAAGGCAATGCATGTGATGTGCACATGTGCTATTGATTGATTTGGCTCTCCAACTTTATTGGATCTCTCTTTCTCCTCTACATAAGCAATGAAATGTCAATTCTATATGTGTATATATATAAATGCTTTTTCTCTGCTGCTTCTTCTAATTCCCCCTTCCCAAGTTAGAACAACGCGAGAAACTGCCTGGCTTAGTAATGTCTGAATAATAACTTTTAAGGCATGCTCATCTTAAGAGACAAATATTTATAATACTCAACTAATTTCCTTCAAAGGTATTAACAGTCATGGAATGTCTTGCTTAGATCAGATTAAATTGAATATTGCGAATTCGAATAAGTATGTTTGCTATTAATTAGAGATATGTTTTTACATTTTCTTCTTAAACCCCTTATAATATAATAATTCTAACTTGTTTCGAAACTTTTTATCTTATGTACTTCTTGGGCTTAATTTAAAATCAATGACTTATTATAAGTAAATTACTCGATTTAACGATTGGCAATTGGTTATGTCGATCTAAGTGTATATGAAACTCTATCAATTATCAAATGAGTAAATATTATTCCCTCTATCCCATATATAGATTTACTCTTCTTTTTATTCATTCCAAAATATAATCTTTTTTTTTATACCCTTAATTTTAGAAATATGTTTTAATACTCTAATATTCTGTGAAAGTGTAATAATAATAATAATAAATACACAGATACGCAGAACAACAACGGCAACCGCAAGTAAAACGAGAGGCCTACACCGTAGACACACGTGTGACAAAGAAAAGAAGTATGCTATTCGAAGTTTCTCGAAATAGAGCAGTAGGATTCCGACAAGTGTCAAAATCCAGCCAGCGTTGAGCTGACAAAAAATAATGAGTATATGGGATTGGTTGAACACAAAACGATTGGGTCCCAGGGTCGAGAGACTTCCACGTCGGCGTTTCCGTACAATCTGACAAGAACGGGACCCACAATAAAAGGGTTGGGACCAGAGGCAGAGAGGGATGCATCCTATGTGGAAGGTCGGAGATCTTAAAAATTTCCGACACTTGAGCTGTATGCCACTTCTTTAGGGTCCACCCGCCCCAGTCAGTAGCATTCTTTCTCCCATATTTTTCCAAATTTTCGTCTAACCTTTTCATTTTTCACCGATAATGACCCCATTAAGTACTAATCAACCATGGTTTATTACACCAATTAAAAGTTAATCATCTCCTCGTGTAAAGCGGGGTGTAGCTGACTAGGACACATCGAATCTTTGCAATTTATGTAGGGATGGGATAGGATAGGACAGTATATTCATTATTCGTATATCAAAGTCTTTAAACAATATATATAATTTTCTCATACATAAAAAGAAAAACACTTATTTCTATTTATTATTATTATTATTATTATAAAGATGTTAACGATGTAACCAATATTACAAACTCATGAGAGGCTTACACAAAGCCAATTTTATAGAAACAAACTAATCAAAGAGTTTGAGTTGGAAGAGATTACCGCCAACAATCGTGAATGAGTAGCATAGTTAGAAAAGATTAAAGCACCAGTTTTCAGCTGCATGCACCTTTCACTTCCAATGAATCCTTAAGGGATGAACTCAGATAAACTTAATGCTGAATCTTGCAAGTCAAGACTTTTATCAAGTTGGAGGAAACCATAACTGATGTTGCAAGCAAAAGTTTACTAGCATCCTGCATTAGAAATTATAAGAAGAAAAATAAATGACATTTTTGTATTTTTAATAAACCCAAGTTGCTTCTATGGTCAGATTTAACACCCCATAAAGAGTATAACTCACAATCCACAAATTTGTAATGGGATAGAGAAAATACCAAAACAAACACAGAGCAAGGAAGTTTTTCTTGAATTTAAATAAACAAATATGTAATACCCAAGAAAAAAAAGAAAGAACATATATATATATAAAAGAAGCTCGACGCCTAGTGAGAGATTTACTTGAATATGACCAGTCCTTTTAGTTGTTTCTGTTTAGACAATTGTGAAATGGATATTCTGCTCCTCTCCTATATAAAGATCATAAGAATTTACGAATGTATCGTTAAGACTATGGTTAGTGAATCTAACTAAAATGGATATTCTGCCCCTCCATGAGATTCCTCTTGATTTGTCGTCTTGATATATTAACTAGTCTTATAGGAAATTTTTCTTTCTTGCTTTCTTTTTAATGTCAATCGATCAAGATACCAACTAGAAATATTTACTATGCCTTTCACCGCTACACTTTGACGTTATATCTTGAAAGTCTTTAACACATTGTCATATTTTTCTTTTTAAAAATTTTTATTCAAATTGATTTTTATAATAATTTATATTCTTGTAAGATAAACAGTGTAATAAAATTGTTGAGACATGGTTGCACTACAACTGTGTTCGACAACAACTTTTTAAATAACTTTTAGTTAAACACTAATTTTTTATAATGTTCGGTAACATAATGTTTAAATTAACTTTTAGAGGTTAATGTAGCATTTTTATAGAAAGTTAACTTATATAACTTTACCTTTTAGCATTTTATGAAACGTTACTCAAACAGTTAATTGCTAAACACTACTAAAACAGCTAACAGCTATCAAAAAATTAATTTTACTAAACAAACCCTAAGTTTGGATAGAAATTACATAGAGGGAGTCGAACCTAGCACTATTAAGCTCAAAATATCAGTCTTTTATTAATTGTGCCAAAATGGAGAGGATATATTTTAATTTTCTATGGTTGTAGCCCAAAATTGAATTGTAATAAACACTTCCTCTGTGCTATATATATATAGGTCTAATTTGATTTTTGTTACAAATTAAGAAAAATTAATTAATATAATTAAACTGTATTTTTTTTGTATACCATATTAAATGATGTGTATACAATTTGAAATATTAATGTATATTAAATAAAGATATATTAAGAAATTAAATAATAAATGATGTTTTAAAAAGGAAAGAGTAATACATTTTTATACAAACGAAGAAGAAAAGTGAAGGATAGATACAATACGAAGTTATGAAGAGGAACAATTAAGAAAAATAGCACGTGTATGATTATAGTTTGACATGTGGAAGAAGCAATTCGAAGTCAAGAAGAAAATGCTAGTTATTTCTTTGCAATTTAGTATAGATTATATGGATATGGATTGGACGGTGGGCAATATATAATTGATATTAATTGCATGTCGTCCGACTACCCCTAAAGAAAATAAAATTAAATTAAAATAGTGCTCCAAATCTTTTTTTTTTTTTTTCTAAATTCCTACCTTAATGACAAACACAGAGGAAACATTTTAAAATTTGCCGAATAAATTATAAAAAATTTCTAGACATTTTCTTCCATTTTCTAGTAAATTCAAGAAAAGGTGCAAAATAGTATCCTTACATTAAAAACAAATATTGAATTTTAATAAGCTAGCCTAAAATAGTATGAGAACAAAATATGTATATTGCATGTTGAATAATCACTTTTAATTTTTAGTTAACCTTTTAAGTAATTGGGTGAAATAATAAATTATTTGTTTATTTTTTTAAATATGATAAAAAATTATCAGGTTTCATAAATTGATATATATAAAAAAATAAGTTACTATATATATATATATATACATATATATAGTTTGACAGAGGATATTTGGTTTAATTAAGTGGCGGTCGTTGGTCTCACATATAGCTAAGCTGGACTATTCGTTTGTAAAAAGAAAGAAAAGTTTTCGAATTTGGTTTTTCTGCCATTTTAGGATTCTGTCATTAATTAGAATTTAAGTAAAAAATCCCAAAATAAATGAGAAAATAGAAAATATTGCAAATCCAGGTTAGAACACAGATTATATATGGGATTTGAAGTTAATGTTTTAAATTTTAAGCTTTGGATGTGAAAATTCCGTGTAAAAATAATGTTCCTATGTTGTGGTTGGAGTTGTACGAATATCAATTGCCATATATATTCTCAAAAAAAAAAAGAAAATTACCAAATACAACATCAAACTTTTTTTTATTATAAAAATATTGTTGTTATCTACTTTGCCTTTTATCCTTGGGCACCTATAAATTGACATCACCGGCTCTCACTCTCTCTCAACAACGACAAACATCAGTAGAGCAAATCCTCTGGATTTTACTACAAATACTCTAGTTAACACATTCTCAAATAACCTACACTAAAATGGTGTGTGGGATTCTTGTTTATTTTATCATTTTTCTTCTTAGTTTATTCTCATATATAACGAAAAGAAGATGCAAACAAGAACGCCATAAAGGAATTAAGCTCCCTCCGGGTTCAATGGGTTGGCCTTACATTGGAGAAACTCTTCAACTCTACTCCCAAGACCCAAATGTATTCTTTGCAGACAAACAGAAAAGGTTTTCAGTTCTTTCGCGATTCTTTTTTTTTAGTTATCCAGATTTACCGACTCCTCCTTTTTTTTTTTTTTTTTTTTTTTTTTCTTTGCAGACAAACAAGAAAAAGGTATTTTACAGTTCTTCGCGCATTCTTTTTTTTTAGTTATCCAGACTTTACGACTCCTCTTTTTTTTTTTTTTTTTTTTGTGTGTGTTTTTTTTTTTTTTTTTTTTTTTTGTGTGTGTGTGTGTTTTGAATTTTCTGTGCATGAAATTGAATGTGAATAAATTTCTGTATGTGTTGATTGATACAGATATGGAGAAATATTCAAGACCCATATTCTTGGATGCCCATGTGTGATGCTGGCTAGTTCTGAAGCAGCTCGGTTTGTGTTAGTGACAGAGGCTAACTTGTTCAAACCAACGTATCCTAAAAGCAAAGAACATCTAATAGGCCCATCAGCTCTCTTTTTTCACCAAGGAGATTACCATATGCGTTTAAGAAAGCTAGTTCAAAGTTCTTTGTCTCTCGATGCACTTCGAAACTTGGTTGCTGATATTTCAGCCATAGCTAACTACACCTTAAACTCATGGGATGCTGGCCATGTCATTGATACCTTTCAAGAACTGAAAAAGGTTGGTTGAATATACTATTAACCTTCTTAAAACTTGTAGCTTTTTACATATAAAAATATTTTCTATAAACTGTAGATGGCACACGCCTTCTCATAATTACTGGGTCTTTGGCTTTTGATTTCAGTTTTCTTTTGAAGTTGGTATTCTAGTAATTTTTGGGCAATTGGAGTCCCATTACAGAGAAGAATTGAAAAAGAACTACAGGATAGTAGATAAAGGCTACAATTCTTTTCCAACAGTCCTGCCCGGAACTGCCTACAAAAAGGCACTTACGGTAAGCTATAATTTAATTTAAGATATAAATAATTAACGTCATAATTTATAGTAATTGACTGATTGTCTGATTACAGGCAAGAAAGAGGCTGAACAAGATTTTGAGTGACATTATCAGCGAAAGAAAGGAAAAAAAATTACTTGAAAAAGATCTGTTGGGTTGTTTATTGAATTCAAAAGATGATAAAGGACAAGTACTAACCGATGATCAAATCGCCGATAACATTATCGGAGTTCTTTTTGCTGCTCAAGATACGACGGCCAGTTCCCTGACTTGGGTTGTTAAGTACCTCCATGATAATCCGAAGCTTCTAGAGGTTGTCAAGGTACGATCTATATGGAAACCCAATTAAATCATCGACAAGGTCTTTGTTTCTTGTCTCTATCGTCTTTGATATACTGTTGAGAAGATGGTGATGGTACTAATTCTTACTAATTAATGGTGATTCTTTCTTTTTCAGGCTGAACAGAAGGCAATTTACGAAATGAATGGTGAAGGTAGTCAACCATTAAGTTGGAGTCAAACTAGAAGCATGCCCTTTACTCAAAAGGTCAATAATTTTTCTAGATTTTAATTATTTATCATACGTGAGATTATAAATTTTATTGGTACAAAAACATTTAGGCGGGTTATATCAATCTTGGAATGAAATTATTCTCACACTTAAAAAGGATATAAAAATACTTAAGAGAAAACAAATATAATTATGTATATACTCTCTATTTCATCAACGGCAGTGGTGGATTATGAATTTTTTGTCTGCTAAATATAAAATAGAAAAATATGGAAACACGGTAGTTGTCCTAAAATTTTTATATTTTATGGACTTTCAGGTTGTGTTAGAGAGCTTAAGAATGGCAAGTATTATATCTTTTACCTTCAGAGAAGCAGTGGCAGATGTGGAATACAAGGGTAAGAAGAATACCTCTGATTGAGGTTTTTTTTTTTTTTTTTTTTTTTTTTTTTTTTTTTTTTTTTTTGTTTTTTTTTGAGTGTTAACTCTTAAAATATTTAGTATAAATATAAAAGAATACCATTAAGATGGTCAAATGGAAAAGTATATAACCTAAGTATTCCTATGGGAGAAACAAGGTCAAATTGAATTCTATTGGACCATGCTAATTGCCATGATTATTTAACCATTTATCATAGAAATTGACATTTAGGGAAAATGACTTGTATGTAATGAAATGTGACAGGGTGCCTGATTCCCAAAGGGTGGAAGGTGATGCCTTTGTTCAGGAACATTCATCATAATCCAGAATATTTTAGTGATCCTCATAAATTTGATCCTTCAAGATTTGAGGTAAAAAAAATCAAGTAATTCATATTTTCTTCTTTCTTCTTAGCCAATCAGATATCTATGTACTGAATTCCTATTTTTAATGTTGAATTTTGTGCAGGTTGCACCAAAACCCAATACATTTATGCCATTCGGTAGTGGGGTTCATGCTTGCCCAGGAAATGAGCTTGCCAAGCTGGAGATGCTTATCATTACCCACCATTTGGTCACCAAGTTCAGGTATTGTTGATTGACAAAAAATCATAACTATTTTGACCATTTTAATTGGTGAAATCAATATTAGATAACCTAATTTAAAGCAAATGTAAAGGAAAAAGGAAATTATTGGTTGCGATTCTTTGATTTTTTTAGTGATTGGTAATGTTCAGTAACTTTTTGCAATTCTTGATTGCAGGTGGGAACTGGTGGGATCTGAAAATGGGATTCAGTATGGCCCATTTCCTGTGCCTATTCATGGTCTTCCAGCAAGATTTTGGAAAGAATCCACTACCAAGCTTTGATGCTCTCAGGATAAATAACCTGACGTGCCAATTGCCATCACCTCCTTTTTTAACAATATAATTTGTATTTTTTTTTTTTTTTTTGGCTAAGCATTTCTTATTTTTACTCTTTTAGATTCCAGCAATGTATCCCCAATCAAAAAAAAAAAAAAAAAAAAAAAAAAAAAAAAAAAAAAAAAAATCAATTATTTTGGGATAGTAAGATTTTTTTTTACACTTCAATTTTATCTTATCCCATTCAACCCTTTCTGTATTTTGCATCTTCTAAATTGATTATATGAAATATAATATATGATATTTCCAAAGGGTCCTGATGGAGCAAACCAATTAATCTAATCTAATATCTTTACTTTGACATAAAGGAGACTTGTATTTTTGCATCCTCGCCATTTTTTTTTTTTTTTGTACTTTTTTTGGATGGAGAGCGTCTCGCAAAATGAATTAAGGACATGACTTTTTTTGGTTAAAGCCAAGTGTCAATATGAGGAGAGAATATGCATACCCACCCCTTGGGACTGTCACAGGCTATGAGAAAGCCATTTGTTGGATTCTGATTGGCCCCGGGTTTTGTTTGTCTCTCATCTTTGGCTGAAGAGCGTCCTTCCAAACAACACCAATATTACTGCTGGACCCTACTGAAGATGTGGCTACTAGAGGCGGATAGCTTAAGCGCAAGGATTTCTTTTTTTTTTTTTCTTTTTTTTTTCTTTTTTTTTGGGAATTTTGGAAGGAGCTGAGCTGAGCTGAGCCCCAGTAATCCTTCTCTGCCTACACAAGGTTTTCTCCTGCTGATAGTGCCCGTTGTGTCTTGGCTCAAGCAGTCATATTCATGGTTTGCTATATGTTTTTCATTGTTTTTCTCATTTCTCATTCAAATCCTGCACTCTTAATACAGATGCTAAGAAATATTTGGCCTTGTCCACAAGAAACAAATACCATCATCCATCGACTTTATCTCGAGTATTTATGTGAATTAAGGGGTTTATTTGTACAGAAATAAGATAGGAGCTCAGAGTAATGATTTTGCAAAATGGCATCCTGTCACGGTCAAATTACCCACATTGTACTTTCCTGGAACAAACAGCATTGGTTTCATATCTGATTGTGCTTTAGAAAATTATCTACATCATCATATTACATAGATAACCCATGTATAGCAGAAGATAAAATACCATGTAATGTTAAAAAAATTGAAAATGAAGATGGAGAATTTTACTCTTCATTCAAAGACTAAATATCTTTTGTTACAGATGAATATTTCATAGCATTTAACCATAGTTACATACATCTCTGTTTTGCATTATTTTGCATTAGTTCATGTGGATGTGTATTTAAGAATTGCTGCAGTAATCCTTTCTTTGTCTCTGGTAGGAAATGCTTCCAATAAGACTCCATTTTTGTAGAAGTGGAAGAGGGGCACTGTCTGCATTAGTTCAGGTTCGTCAAAAGTCAATACAATCAAACACAATTAATAACCATATATGAATCTTCCATATTACCTTGATTCTAAGCCTCTCAGCAACCTCGGATTGCTCATCGTACTCGTCGATTACCTATAGTAAATAGCATTAAGCATTCAGTTACCCTGACTTCTTGAGAGTTCATCTATGTCCTCTTCATATGTAGGTAAAAAAGAACACTCACATTATGCTTTAAGAAAATGACTGCAGCCTCTTCATCACCAGCTCCCCTGCATAATTTTGCAAACCCCTGCTCTATATACTTGCAGCTTCCACAAGAAGTACGATAAAAATCTACCACAACTAAAGAACCAGTTTCTTTGGCTTTTTCAATAATTTTTAAGAATTCTTCATCTGTTTTAAATTCTCTAACACAATCCGCAGGACAAAGATCTTCATCTTCATCAGATAATTCACCTGGATTGCCATCAGCCACACCTTTGATTCTTCCAGGTTGAAAAGTGTCACTTTTCTTTAGAAAATCCAAGCCTACTGTTTTAGAGATCGGTATAATTTTGGTCCAAACAAGACACGATTTGGTGTTACATCGCATTCTTGGAACTACATGAGGAATTCTAGAACCACATTTTCTATCTGGGTTGCTTCCCAAACCGAAAGAGGCATTGGAATATAGAATATTCTGCTTTTGCATCACAACATATAGTAACCCTCCAAAATAGCACAATCTATATATTCTGTATAATTTGAACAACTCAGGAAATAAATATCAAAAAGAAAGACCACAGGCCATTGATGTCCCAAAAATATTCTTTCTTTATCTCATTCCATCATCAACTGGAACAATTACAAACGACGAAACCAGAAAGTGAAAATCATTACTAAGTTGGAAGATCCTAACACATTGCATGCGGAATCAATAAAAATGTGGACATTCATATTATTTTCATACAATATATTAAAACTATATTGAAAATGGAAATCGGTCCAATATGGTGTTTTGATATGAATTTAGCAGCAGGAAGAAAATAATAGAATTTCAATTAATGTGTCGATTTGAGTAGTACCTGTTAAAATTGGAGACGAGATGTTTGCGCTTTTGCCATATCTGAAGCGATCCTTCGAAACTTCGAATGAGAAGATGACACGATACTCCATATCCAGTTTGTTCTGCCCGTTCATTTTCTATCCACACGAGTCTTACTTTTTCTATTTTTCTATTATTTTGTTTTTCTTAGGTGGGTTGGGCTAAGCTAAATATTTTTAGGTTGGGCCTATTATTTTGTATTTGGGTAAGCAAATAAAAATCTAGCCATACCAACTTTCAGGTTGGGCCTAAGGCCTTTTTTATATATATTTATGTCGGTCAAAATGGACTTTCTATTTTTACCATGCTGTCGCTCGAGGACCACCTGTGTTTCGGAAACGACACCGCACAATCATAATTTTCAGCCGCTTTTGATTTTCCATCTGAAGGATGGATTAGCAAACCGGCTTATTGAATCAGCTCTTTTTGAGTTGAATCTGGAGCGGTTTACCAGTGATTTGATTCATTTGATATTCAATTTTTTTTCCCTCGTTTTTATTTTTTAAAATTATCTTTTTATACTTAAATGAAGTTTCTCGAAAATAAGACAATTGATAAATAAATTTATAAAATCTAGAAGAGCAATTATAGAAAATTCAAGAAATAAAATCAAAATGAAAAAAAAAATAGAATATATATACAAAATGAAATGGATTGTTAATTACATATTTACCAACTAGAATATCAATTTAGTAATAAAAAATCTTCCATAAATATTCAATAATCATGTTATCTCAATCTTTAATTTTTGTCCATTTGACACTAAGTACAAGTAAAATAAATAATGAAAGTAAAAATTATGAGAAGAAATTTCTAAATTATTTTAAAAAAATTTACTTAATAGATAAAATTTAGAAATTTAAATATATATAAAATATTTTTATAAGATTTAATAATTTTATAATGAAAAAGGTGAAATAATAAAGACTTATAAAAACTTAAAAAATTAAATAAACAAAATATAATATATTTAAGAGTTTAAGATGTTTTCATCCAATAACAATTACAAAAGTTTTTATTATATTATTTAAAGCAATATTATATGAATCTATAAAACAAATTTGATATTAATAAGATAGGCATTAACAAAAAAAGAATTATATTCATTTTCAGCAAGTAAATAGATATAATAGGAAGCTTGCAACAAAATGCCGTCGTAGCTTTGTATATACCTAATAAAAAATCCACCCGAGTCTGAGTTGGTTTTTGTGCTTTTATGATTTCTCCATAATAAAGAAGTTACTTTTTCGGGTTCTTCGTTTTTCCTTTTTTTTCTCCTACATGCTGTTTATCGAGTCCGGTTGGATTGAAGTCGGAATGGCAGAGGATTAGGCATATGCTTAAAATGCATATCCGATACTAAATTAGATATTCCAATTTGTCATGAATTCGATTACAATTATCGGTTTAAATACATAAATCAGTTTAACTACTCATTAATATTAAAAATTAAATAAAAATAAGTAAAAAATTATAAAATTATATTGACTTTATAAAAATTATAATATCAATATTAAAATAATTATAGCGGTAATTAATAAATAAAATTATTTTTACATATTATAATGTATACTGTTTTTAAAATTTAAGGTGAATATTTTCTATTTTGTATTATATAAATAAAAATATTAATTAAGTTTTAAAGATTATATTTAAAAAACTATTACTTTTAAACAACTATAAAATATTAATTTTTAAAAAATAATTTTATCAATAATTATTTTTATGATATTAATGAAGTCCTAATATAAATAAAAATCAATCATCAATTAATACGAAAAAGTTTCAAAACATAATTGATAGCATCCACCGTTGATTAGGATTTCTATTGACTATCAGTTTACTGAACATTTTCGATCTAATTGTTAGAAAAAATAGGCTAACCCTCTCTGCATTTGACATTAAATATTTTGGTTTCCACCCACCAACCAAGTACTTATTGCTCCTTTTATTTATAATATTTATTGATTTATTAAAGGCTTGTTTAGTTTAATTATTCATAGCAATCGTTGTTGATAACTAAAAGGTGTTGATCGATAGTAATTAGCATGTGAATATTTAAATTTGGTAAAATTTTGTTAATGGATATTGTTAAAATATAGAATAATCGTCAAAATTTATTTCATGAAAATTACAACTTTTAAATAATTATAAATAAAAGGACTATAAAAAAATATTGATTTGAAAAAAATAATTTTGTTAATAATTATTTTTATGAGATTAATGAAGTTCTAATATAATATAAATGAAAAATCAACTATCAAACTAAAAAAAAAAAAAAAAATTCAAATAATAGATATATAATCAACCACTCATTGAGATTTTTACTAAATGCTTATAATCTAATTGTTGGAAAAATAGTCGAACCCCACTCTACATTTTACATTAAATATTTTGGTATCCTACCCACCAACCAGCTACTACTCGTTACTTTTATTTATAATATTTGTCAGTTAGGTACAAGTTTTGAAATATTTTAATTTTTTTCATTAATTAATATGTGAAAAATATTTATTTTACTTCTAATAATTATGTAAATAGATAATCACAAGGTTGCATATGTCTAAATGATATATATAAATTGGATTCCACAAATATTATATAAGATCATATATATACATAGACACCAGGATTTGATAGGCCATTTTATAAAATATTCTATATATTTATAAATATAAGTCATTTTAGAGTAATTTTTTTATTTATAAATATAAATTATCTTGAGAATATTAAAGAATAATTAATGATTTTTTTCAATTTTATCCTTCTATATATTAAGCACATTTATCTATTTATATAAATATATAAAAAATGAATCTTTAAAGCTGGCATAACACAAAACTAGAGTTTTGAAATGCTGGTTTTTTCTTTCTTTTTATATTTTTAATTTATTGTTTTATTATATAACTATTAACTGTTATCATTTATCAATACAAAGTGGAGAATTTATATTTGTAACGGCCTCTGTTTTGTATTTTTGGCAATTAGTTTACCATGGTTTTTGCCTTAAATGTGAATAAGGAGAGCATGCAAAAATCATATAATATAAAGATTGGCTATAAAAATAAATAATTTCTTGATTTTATCTCTCTCTTTCCCCTTTTGAGAGAGGAACCATCGGAAACCAATAACAACACTGTAGAGAAAAATTAATAAAGACTTCTATAACAATTTATAATTGAAGTTTTCTAACACGCCACACTATTTATATTTACACGACATTTGGTGAACTTATTGGTTTACAAATGTTATCAAAGTGAACGAAAGAAATTCAGTAATAAAGCTTTTTGCTTTTTTTTTTTATATTATTAATTATATAACATTTGTAAATTTGTTGCTTTCTATTAATTTCTCTTCACACTGTAGAGAAAAATTAATAAAGACTTCTATAACAATTTATAATTGAAGTTTTCTAACACGCCACACTATTTATATTTACACGACATTTGGTGAACTTATTGGTTTACAAATGTTATCAAAGTGAACGAAAGAAATTCAGTAATAAAGCTTTTTGCTTTTTTTTTTTATATTATTAATTATATAACATTTGTAAATTTGTTGCTTTCTATTAATTTCTCTTCAACCTTATTTTTTTACAAATAATGAAAGATCTTTCAAGATTATTGGTATAAAAATATGAAAGATCTTTCAAGATTATTGGTTTAATTTTTATTTGATTAGTTTTGAGTTTTTATCTATTTTATTTACTATGTTTGTGTATGAATTGACCTTTGATATGATTAAATTTGGGTTGTCAACCTTTTTTTGTTTTTATTTAGTTTTATTCTAAAATTTAGATATTCAACCGTTAGTGAAATGATGTACTAGTTTTTTTTATCACCGTTTGTCTCATTTAATAGAATCAATGCCTTGATATATTGATTCACATATGTGCACTCAGATTTAGACTCAAAGAACAAATAATTAGCAAGTATTCCTTTTCTTTTATTATGAGGAGTGCTAGATCTATAGTTACAAATAAATATGAAATTTTTTTTTCTGAATTCAAGACAAAAAAATAATGAAATTTAGACGACTTTATTTCTCTCTCTTTTTTTTTTTAATAATTACTTAAGTGAGTATTGGAGAATAATAGAAATATATAAAAATATTATAATTTGCGAATTGCGCGAGCACATAACTAGGTAATTATTAATGGCATGGAATAAGAGTAATTTAATCAAATTAATAATTTTTTTGTTATAATTTTAAAAATTAATTATTTTCCTAATTATTATGTAAAATATTACAAGATGTATATTTATAAACAGAGCAAATGCTAAATTTAATAGTTTATTTAAATTAAAGACGGTCAATGAAGGAAAAAAATTTTCAAAAAATCTATACTTAAAATTTTTTTTATTAAGAATCAAATTATAGCAATAAAATAATCAAGCGGACATTAATACCCATCCTTACACAACCGATACTGATATGAATATAAATGTAAACTTAAATTACAGGCAATAAAATTCACTAATCAAATGAAATTTTAAAATATTTAAAAACTAAAATATCTTGAATATAAAAATCAAAATTCGCAAAAGAAAAAAAATTTATTTATAGATCAATTACTAAAAACAAACCTCCACAAATTGCAATTACCAAACATTGTTGAGGAGATTTTAAAATTTAATTACAATAACTGAATTTAAAATAATAAAATGAAGAAAAAGCTGATGAAATATTCTGTATTCTACAGTTTCCTAACTCCCTACGCAGTCGGTGTCCGATTACGGGTAAGTTCTTTTCCCCGGAAGAAGGAAAGCTATAAGCTTTAATGCGAAAACGTAAATGCAAAACGTCATCCACCAATTTCCAACCAAAATAAACGTTGAACATAGGGGTGCGTGCGTTTTCAGCCCATCACCTAATCTACTTGCCTGCAATTAATTTTCATCACCGGAACCCCCAATCTAGACTCAACTGCCTTCTTTAAAATCCCCAACTGGTTGCTTCTAATTTCAAATCAAAGCCTCTCCTAAACAATTCACAATGGGTACAGAGCTCAAGTCGCAAGCTGTTTTTGATCTCTTGGAGAGATTTCTTGAGACCGATGAGGGTATTGAACTTCGGAAGAAGCTCAACCTCGTCTATCAGCTCAATATCGCCCCCAAAGTAACCTGCTTCTTCTTTTATACATTTATTGTGTTTAATTGCTTCTGGTATTTGGATCTTACTCTTCATAATTTATGTTGTTTCGATGAATTGCAGAAAATTGGGGTCGATGAGGTCATTTTCATTCTTGATTTCAAGAAAGGAGTGGTTACTAAAGGTTAGGTTTTTATTTGGTTTAGTAATTTCACTAATTTGTGTATTTTCATTATTTTTTTTGATTTATTTTCCGTAAATTTTATAGGTATTGGTAAATATTCTTTAGATTGCCAATTAGAAAAAGTGGGGATGGTGGATCTGTTAAGTTCAATGCTAAAAGTTGAAGTCTTTTCTTTCATATGTTACTTTGTTCACACAGCATTCGTGTCCCCACGTTTGATACTCTTTGGTAGAGCATATACAATGCTTTGGCCTAAAGACTAAGGTTCCTATTTTTTTTGGCCATTTTGGTCCCCCACACATCTCAAATTTTTTGGCCAAAACATCAGGTGAAGGTAGATGGGAGTGTCAGGTGTGTGACATCACTTCATTTCGAACACCCTGATGAATACAGTATGCTAATGAAAACAGACTTACAAACCAGCTAAAAAGAAAGGAAGAAAGTCTCTGTTTTCAATCCCATACATTGAAAGAATTGTTTATAGTAGTCTTGTCTATTTTTGCAGTTTGGAGGTATATACGAACAGTATAGACTCGAGAATACCTGCTTTTTTTTTTTGGCTTATGTTTACTAAGCCTTAATGGGATGGGATGTGTTAAATGCATTTTTAGCATGAACATTACATATGAAATGCATTTGATGACATTACATTATGCTTACCGAAAGTATTCTTTGGTTGCCTTTAACCAAGTAACTGATTATATAATATCACTGGTTCTAGGGCCTTACGAAGGAGGTAAGCCTGATGCCATTGTTTCTTTAAAGGATGAAGATTTTGTCAAGCTTTCTGAGGGGAAGCTGAATCCCCAGATTGCTTTCATGAGGTGCAATCTTTGTCTCTTTACCAACTAGACTCTTGTTCTATTTGTTTCTCATTTTGATTTACAAACTTTGTTCTGATTTCTTATATTTGATGGATATTAGGGGCAATTTGAAGATCAAGGGCAGTCTCAGTGCAGCACAAAAACTCACTCCTGATATCTTCCCAAAGCCTTCAAAGCTCTGAACTTAGCTGTGTTAGACAATTCCATTTTGTTCGACATGGCAGTTTGAATTTGAAATTTCGAATTTATATTATTAGTATAGGAGGAATCATTTTTAGCTGTTCATCAACATCTACATAAACTTACATATCTGTAATATGGTACTGAATTGTAGGCTCTTGTACCAAGAATAATCTAGAATTATTAAGCTGCACAATTTCCTTTATTAATCAGTATGAATGTCAAACAATGAGCTTGTCATGTAGGATGTACAAGTAGATGTTCATTCTGGGTTGTCAATTGTCATGGTTGCTAATTGATGACGACGTCCTAAAACAATTTGCTGTTTTGTAGTCGTGATGGTGCTTGTATTAGCATCCTTCTTAATTGATCACGAGTTCATGGGTAAGCCCCTAAACCTAATATGGTCCTGCAGCATTTAAATCCTTCCCAGATTCCGGAAGTCAATTATAGCAGTAATGTCAAACCCGACATTTATAGGGATGGTGGGGTCTAACTCAGTTGATTGCATCTCTTGGTTAGCCCTACAAATTGATGAAAGGCATTGCAAATTTGCAGGCTATTCTTCCCTCGTCGCTAATTTACTAGTTACTTTTTCTATCACCTACTCCTCTACGCTGTAAACTTGCTTTCTAAAATCTACAGTCTTGCAAGAACTGTATGCGGAAAACAAAAACTCAGATTAATGGATTTTTTTTATATTCTTTCTTAAAAGAAATTAAATGATCAATGTGAAAATAACTATAAGATACAGACAGGTACATGAAAAAAATAAAAATTTAAAGGTTCCCCTTCTGCACTTTGCTCCTAATTAAGCCAAGTGAAGCAGCTTGGCTGCTGATAATAAAACGAGCTAAGTTATTTTCCAAAAAATAAATAACATATTCAGTTTTCTATTTGTAAAATTATATAAAAAACAGATTTAAAAGTCAGAAGTGAAAAAAAATATTAAAAAAAATGAAGAAATTAAATACAATTTGTTTCTATTCTAGTTTTACTTCTCCATATCTTTGACAATGTGATTGAATTTTTTTCTGCTTTTAGTTTTCCTGCTTAAATATTTATGTATTTTTTGTTATTTTGAAAGTCAAAACTTTAATATTTTATTGTTTTTGCCTAAAAAAAAAATAATCATAAACTTAAAAATTTTATCTTCAATTAATCTAGAAGCTAACTTTAAATCAAATTATATATCTAGTAAAATTCAAAAATCAAATTGCATTTTTATCCTTTAAACACCATTGAATTGAATGAAGTCTATGAAAGAGAACAGCAAAGTCCACCATGCTCCGACATAAGGAAGCTCAACTTTACCTGTTTCACCCGATATTTGACCCGATTTAAATCGAGCAGGTAAAATCTAATCCGTTTTAAGATGGATTGGACACGGGTGTGTATTACTACGGTCCGAACCTATCCGAGCTAATCCGATTAACTTTTGCTGTTCCTTTAAAAGTAAGTTTTTTCTTAAAGTTAATTTTATTTATATATTAATTCGATCCAAATCAGATTCGAATATAAATTCGAACTTGATCAATTCGAATAATACATTTGACCAGAATTTACTCCTTCAAGCCTACTCCCGCAAAAACTAAAACTAATGAATTTCCTCCCTTCATTCTCTATTTTGTATATATATATATATATATTTATGAATCACTAATAAATAATAAATAATAAAGAACTATGTGAAATTTTTTTTATTTATTTGAGGAATGGAGGGCCTCGAGTTCAAGTCCTCTCTCGATCATTAATTATTTTCTACTAATTTGATGAGTCAAGAGAAGAGCTACTCTTATTGTATAGCCCATAATTTATTTCGGTCCATAAAGATCTCAAATAAATTAAAAAAAAAAAAATCATCTGGAAACAGAAGGTCTTAAACAGTTAAATTCGGTTTCTCTTTATTCCCATACAATGATTTTCACTAATAAAGGAATGGTTTCTTGATGGATAATAAAGGCAAACAGAGGGACTTTCTTGCAAAAGTTGTTTATGTGCAAATTGTTGTTCTTATCCCCTGCTTATCCAAAAGCACGAATCAAACGAGTCGATTTGGCTTGCACGCCGTGTTTTCTCCAAATTCTCCAAAATCATTTCGGCTTTGACTTTCTCTTTATCTTTACTCTTCAATCTTCTATAACTTGAGACTTAGCAGCCACGACCCGATTCTGGTAAATCAATAGCAAGTTATCTGCTCCGGATCCGGTTATTGATTACTTATTAATTACAACGTCACCGTGATTTTATGAAGTTTTTCAAAGTCAATTTGTGAAAAATGCTTATAAAAATGCTCCACACGCCAGCCCCAGAACTCAAAACAGCTAACAGAAGAAAAATAATGAACTTTCTCGTTTGCTTCCACTTCCTCTCATTCTTCCCTTTGTTCACATCTGCAGAACTATTATTTCAGGTATGGGATACATCTCACAGGCACAAACAGATATCTAAATGTTTGCATTATGCATTTGAGTATATTTATTAAAGATTTTGATTTTATTACAGGGGTTTAATTGGGAATCATGTAACAAGGAAGGAGGATTGTACAATTCACTCAAGAATTCAATTCCTGAACTGGTTGGTGCAGGAATTACTCATATTTGGCTTCCTCCACCTTCTCAGTCAGTTGCACCTCAAGGTATTTATTTTCCAGTAAATTTTTCAAGTTGTTACTTCCCAATTGTTTTTAACTAAAAGTGGTAGTGTCTTGAAGCCAAGAAACCTTGACGAGAAGCGGTCCTTTTGTTTTTTTCTGTAAGTTTTGAAGAGTTTCTGTTCATAAAACAAAGCGCCTAAAACTATTTGGTTAAATGTCTGTTAGGATATATGCCGGGTAGACTGTATGATCTCAATGCTTCAAAATATGGAAACCAGAATGAATTAAAATCATTAGTCAATGCTTTTCATGGGCAAGGAATAAAATGCTTGGCTGATATAGTAATAAATCACAGAACTGCTGAGAGGAAAGATGAGAGAGGAATATGGTGCATTTTTGAAGGCGGAACAGCTGATGATCGCCTTGACTGGGGTCCATCCTTCATTTGCAGTGATGACACTGCCTATTCTAATGGCAAAGGAAATCCTGATACGGGTGAGGATTTTCCACCTGCTCCTGATATTGACCATCTCAACTTAAGAGTTCAAAAAGAGTTATCAGATTGGATGAATTGGTTGAAAAATGAAATTGGATTTGATGGATGGAGATTTGATTTCGTAAAGGGATATGCTCCTACCATTACTAAAATTTGTATGGCACAAACTTCTCCAAATTTTGCTGTTGGTGAAAAATGGGATTCTCTTGCTTATGGTCAGGATGGAAAGCCTGAAGCTAACCAAGATGCTCACCGCGGCGCATTAAGGGACTGGGTTGAAGCTGCAGGTGGTGTTGTCACAGCATTTGATTTCACTACCAAAGGAATACTTCAAGCTGCTGTGCAAGGAGAGTTATGGAGATTAAAGGATTCAAATGGAAACCCACCAGGATTGATTGGAATATTGCCTCAAAATGCAGTAACTTTTATAGACAATCATGATACTGGCTCTACTCAAAAACTTTGGCCATTTCCATCGGATAAAGTCATGCAGGGATATGCTTATATACTCACCCATCCTGGAATCCCATCCATAGTAAGATTTTGCTCAATCTTTTGATTTTTTACAGTTTCATTTGCAGTGTTTACTTGTAAAATAGTTAGGCTTCTTCTCTTTTTCTTTTTTCTTTTTTTCTTTTTTTTTTTTTTTTTTTTTTTTTTTTTTTTTTTAGGACGCCACATAGCTAGAGCGAATGGAGACAGCTCCTACGTTCAACCCATCCTGGAATCCTCCATAGTAGATTTTGCTCTCAATCTTTTGAGTTTTTTACAGTTTCATTTGCATGTTTACTTGTAAAATAGTTAGGCTTCTTCTCATTTTTTTTTCGTTTTTTTCTTTTTTTTTTTTTTTTTTTTTTTTTTTTTTTTAATTTTTGTGTTTTTGCAAAGTTTATGATCACTTCTTTGAGTGGGGACTAAAAGGATCAAATTACCAATTGCGTTTTTTTTTTTTTTTTTTTTTTTTTTTTTTTTTTTTTTTTTTAATTTTTGTGTTTTGCAGTTTTATGATCACTTCTTTGAGTGGGGACTAAAGGATCAAATTACCAAATTGGCGTCAATCAGGAAGGCTTGCAGGATTCATAATAGAAGCACAGTGAAAATTTTGGCTGCTGAATCTGATCTTTACATGGCAGCAATTAATGATAATGTAATTATGAAGATTGGACCAAAGATGGATCTTGGTAACCTTCTTCCACCAAATGTCCAGCTTGCTACATCTGGAGAAAGCTATGCTGTCTGGATAAAGAAGACTTGAAATATAATAATACGTATGTGAAATCTTAGATACACAGTGTAAAAACTAAAAACTGAAATACATTAATCAAAGTGTATCTGCTCCTGTTTCTGTATTTTGGAACTTCTTCTATACGATGATGTCTTGAGAGATAAAGATGACGTGTAATGATGATAAGCATAATTAAATATATCATTTGGGCTATTTACAGGAGTAGAGAAGAATTTTCTTCTTAACAATAGATGATTTGAAAATCTTAACTATTTTAAAATAGCAGGGTGGAATTCTGGTAGACAAACGCCTCAAAAAAACATGCTGGAGAAATATTTTTCATCTTTTTATATTGGGAAGGGGAGTTTTCCTCGCAACAGGAAAGTTTTCTTTTAACTACTGGGAAAAGTTCCCCCGACCACTTTTTCAAAAAAAAAGTGGATGATCGTTCTAGGAATAAATTCGCGCCAAGAAGTCTTATAGCATGAACTTGTCCTCCTCATCAGTTCGGCCTTCAAAACCAAATCTCTCTCTTTTTCACTCTCTGCTCAAATCTTACATTGAATCCAGAAACCAAAAATCATCGGTGCTTCTTTTTCGCCAATTATTACGTTCCAATGTAAACCCAAATGACCTCACGTTCTCTTTACTTCTTAAATCCTCTGTTGCTTCGTCACTATCAGTTTCAAATCCACTAAATGCAAAATCAGAAGCCATTCAAATCCAAACCCACTTGATAAAATTGGGACTTGACCAATTTGTCTATGTAAATACTTCTCTTCTTGATTTGTGCATGAAATTGGGCTGTGTAAATGACGCTCGTAATGTATTTGATTATATGCGTGATAGAGACACCGTATCTTGGAATGCTTTGATTTGTGGGTATTCGCGAAATGGATATGATTTTGAGGCATTTCGGCTTTTTATTCGGATGCTTCGAGAGGGTTTCTGCCCTCGTCAAACCACATTAGTTGCTTTGGCTCCATCTTGTGGACAGCGTGAGTTGGTGTTTCAAGGGAAGTCCATCCATGGGTTTGGGATCAAGTCTGGACTTGATTTGGATTCTCAAGTGAAAAATGCACTTACTTCGATGTATGCTAAATGTGGAGATTTGGAAGGTGCAGAACTACTGTTTCAGGAAATGGGGGATAAAAATGTGGTTTCTTGGAACACAATGATAGGTGCTTATGGCCAAAATGGTTTCTTTGATGAGGCAATGCTTGTATTCAAGCAAATGATTGAGGCAGGTGTGGAAATCAATCCTGTTACCATTATGAGTCTTCTCTCAGCAAATGCTAACCCAGAATCTGCACATTGTTATGCCATCAAAACGGGTCTTATCAATGATGCATCAGTAATTACGTCATTGGTTTGTATATATGCAAGATGTGGAAGTACAGAATCTGCAGAACTGCTTTATTGGTCTTTGCCACAAAAAAATTTGGTTTGCTTAACTGCAATCATTTGCAGCTATGCTGAGACAGGAAATTTGGGTTTGGTTGTTGAATGGTTTGCTCGAATGCAGCAGTTAGACATGAAACTAGATTCAGTCGCTATGGTTAGTATCCTTCATGGGATTGCTGATCCTGCTCACATGAGCATTGGGCATGCTTTTCATGGTTACGCATTAAAGGGTGGACTGGACACCCATAATTTGGTTGCAAATGGACTAATTAGCATGTATTCTAAGTTCAAAGACGTAGAAGCTCTATTCTCTTTGTTTTCTGAAATGCATGAAAAACCATTGATCAGTTGGAATTCAATGATATCTGGTTGTGTTCAAGCTGGAAGAGCAAGTGAGGCCATGGAATTGTTCTGTCAAATGAAGATGTATGGACATAATCCAGATGCCATTACCGTTGCTAGTTTACTGTCTAGTTGTTCTCAACTTGGGTACTTGCGATTTGGTCAGAGACTTCACAACTACATCCTCAGGAACAAACTAGAAGTTGAAGATTTTGTTGGAACTGCTCTTATAGACATGTATACCAAGTGTGGAAGCATAGTCCAAGCAGAAAGAGTATTCAAGGACATCGATGATCCATGTCTAGCTACGTGGAACACAATGATCTCAGGCTATAGTTGGTATGGCTTTGAAAATAAGGCTCTAACTTGTTACTCTGAAATGCAGGGGCAACAGGTAATACCTGATAACATCACGTTTTTAGGAGTTTTAGCTGCTTGCTCCCATGGAGGTTTTGTTAGTGAAGGGAGACGGTACTTCCGGATGATGACAGAAGAATTTGGTATGTTGCCAACTTTGCAACACTGCGCATGCATGGTTGGTCTCCTTGCTCGTGCAGGTTTATTTGAGGAAGCATTGTCATTTATCAAGAATATGAAGACTAAGCCTGATTCTGCTGTGTGGGGTGCTTTGCTCAGCGCTTGTTGTATCCACCAAGAGGTCAAGCTTGGGGAATCCTTGGCCAAGAAATTATATTTGTTGGATTACAGAAACAGTGGCCTTTACATTTTGATGTCAAATCTTTATGCGGTTACTGGGAGGTGGGATGATGTAGCAAGGGTAAGGGAGATGATGAGAGGTGCAGGAGGGGATGGCATCTCAGGAGTTAGCCAAATTGAGGTGGCTTCATTGGAAGAAATGAGTACTAACTTATACGATGATGCATTTATTGCTAACACAAATTCTTTGCAGCTTATGTTTTTATAATGACTCCTTGAACCTCTGCCCATATCGCTTATGTCAACAGTAAACCTCATTTCAGGTAATATCTCATATACTTTATTTTTAGGATATATATATATATGGACCACTCTTATTTGTACACATTTGTCAAACAGGAATCTCATAGTTTTGAACTATTCATCTCTTTTGAAGACTCTACTCAATTCTATGTCCTTTCGAAGTTAGATTGAGTCAAGGAAATGGTTAGTTCTATAAGAGATTCACAAATTTAGGTCTTCATAAATTACACAAGCCTTTTCATTTCCCATATATTTCTTAATGTTGATAATTTTATTAACAGCCTGAAGAGCTCTTATCGGATTCTCAATTCTGACATGAAGTACCAAGAAAAAACTGAAGACAAAAGCTTTGAAACACTGGAGAAATCATCCTCTGGGCACATACCTAAAACCCCTCTCTCGATGATGTTGAGGTCAACCTCAAGGCCCCAAGCGAAAATGCCCATCTGCAGCAACCTCGCCACTCGAAAACCTCAATTGGAAAATGCTGTCAAGCTCTACTCCCACATTGTCGGGAATACTCCCAAGGCCAAATGGGTCACATTGGAGAAGCTCACTTCTCTTTCCTTCTTTAAGACATTCAAATCAGCAGCCACAAAGATGAATATTTGGAGTCAGAATTGGTGTCTGAAGAGGAATCTGGTGGGTATTGAAGATTAGTAATGAAGTTAAAGAGTTAAAAATTGCTGCTGATATGCAATTGAAGACTTTTAAGGAACAATATCGCGTTGAATTTGTTGCTCAAGGAGTTTGGGTATGAAATTCTTTAGTGCTGAGATTTATGGGATTTTGGTTAATAAGTATCAGGATTGTTTGTTCGAGAATACTTATGGGTTTAAGTCCAATGAAGCCAATAAGATTAAGGTTTACGGGAAAGATTTTAGTGGATGGCTTAACCTTGAAAAGGCTGATGATTCTGTGGGAAGATTCAGAAGATAGTTTCTTAAGAAGATTGGATGATAGTTTCTTGGTAGGTGATTTGGGGATTTAGGTTGTTAAGAACCATAGGAGTGGTTTAAATCTGGCACATTTGGCTCCTAAGAGGTGACTTCTTATTTGTGATGAAACTAACATGTTACTTATGGTCCAATTGCCGAAGGGAAACATATTGCAGGTTTGCAGCAGCTTCACATTGGAACTAAGTAACTTAAGAAGGTTGTCACACAGTGGAGATTTGAGAAGGATGGAACTGATATTAATACGAGGGACATTGTAAATGATAGCAAGGGGGCTCAGTTGGATCCTTTAGGATCTTCACTTTTGGGATTAGACAATAATAGGCTTTGTAGGTGGGATATGCGTGATTGAAATGGGATACTTCAGAATCTTGCAACTGCTAGTACCCTGTCCTAAATTGGACACAAGTGCTACCATAATCAAGAGCGCCTGAAGAGATGCTGTTGCTATAAGATAGTCTCGAAGGATGATTCCACTATTGACGGCCGTTTCCTGCAAGACAAGTTTGCAACTTTGTATCACTGATTCTCCTGAGGCCCCTCCGGTGATTGCTACGTCTATGAGAGTCATATCCAGTAGGCGATGACATGATATGAAGATGCCCTCGACCCTTCTCTGCGTCATTCGGGATGGGATTCAAATGATCTGTGTTAAACTTTCTGATTGTAATTTACATTGTTGTTTAACCAAGATAAGCTTCTTATCGTAAGGGAAGGACGATGACCATCTGTATTAAGTTGCATAAGACTTCTACGTAATTGCTAGTTATTTGATGACTGCATTTTTTATTTTTTATTATTTCTCAAAGAAGCAATTAGTTTAATTTGTTAATACACCTCAGAGCCAATTGGGATCTGGTGGGGCCATCTTATAGTGTTATGTAGCATATATTTCATGTAAAAGATAAGTTCCAACTTTGGCTGGTAGTTGAATACGTGTTCTTTGTGCAGGCCTTGAGTTAGGGATTTGCTGATAGATTAAGAAAAAAGAAAATGGCCCTTGCAATGGGAAGAGCATTGCTTGCGCAGCCTTGTTCTTCATCTTCTTTGTGCTTCACCTCAAAGAATATATCCAAGTCGTCATTAGGAGCCGTGCATACATTTTGGCCCCCTAAAACAGGAAGCAGTCCATCTTATAGACGAGCTGTGGTTCGTGCCCAGCAACGACCCACTTGGCTTCCAGGGCTTGACCCTCCTCCATATCTTGATGGAACGTGAGCCCCATTACTCTCTCTATCTCCAGATATATAAAACTTTGTTTTGTCTTATTTATAAATGGTTTTCTGGAATTAAGTTTGCCCGGAGACTACGGGTTTGACCCACTTGGGCTTGGAGAGGATCCAGAAAGCTTGAAGTGGTATGTACAGGCAGAGCTGGTTCATGCTCGCTTTGCAATGCTTGGAGTTGCTGGAATTCTTTTCACTGACGTAACCTTTCTTCTTCTTCTTCTTCCATGGCGCTGCAATTTGGATCTAAATTTGCTAATTTGAAGAATTAATAATAGTTTACTACTATACTATGCTGCAGCTTCTACGTGTAACTGGAATACGCCAATTGCCAGTTTGGTATGAAGCAGGTGCAGTAAAATTCGAATTTGCAAGCACACGAACATTGCTCTTTGTTCAACTGCTCTTAATGGGGTAAATTTGATTTTTTTTTTTTCTCCTTCTTCTATTGTTGATTAAGTATAGTACAAGAACAAAAACTCTGGTCTTTTTTCTTTTTTCTTTTTTCCTCCTCCTTGGTGCAGATATGCTGAGACAAGAAGGTACATGGATTTTGTTAGCCCTGGATCTCAGGCCAAAGAGGGATCCTTCTTTGGAATGGAAGCTGCACTACAAGGCTTGGAACCTGGGTAGCAATTCTATCACTTCAGAGTTATATTTATATGGAATATGGACTTTTTATTAACAATTTATACAACAAAATAAACAGCTATCCGGGAGGTCCACTACTAAACCCTCTTGGCCTGGCTAAGGACATCAAAAAAGCTCATAACTGGAAGCTTAAAGAGATAAAAAATGGTAATTTTTTTTTTTTGGATTTTTTTTTTTTGGGCTCAAGTCTCTCTTTCAAATGTTCATTTCATTAACAAAATGGTCCGTTGCATCCAGGACGGCTTGCAATGGTAGCAATGCTGGGAATCTTTGTGCAAGCAGCTGTTACTCATGCAGGTCCCATTGATAACCTTGTTAAGCACCTCTCGAGTCCCTGGCACAATACCATCGTTCAGACACTCGCTAACTAACTGAGCTTCTTAAATATTATATATGAAATGTAATTATTTATGCAGTTATCAATTATAACAAGATTCTAGGCACTGTTCCTGGATTGTAGTTGAACTTTCTTACTTCCAATTTTCATCTGAATCTGCGAAATCAACTATTACCTTACGTGCATCTCGTGTTTATTTTAATCTTTTAAGAATTTAAAGAAAACAGGTTTAAGATTTCAGAAATGTTGAAATGTAAATTTAATTACAGCTTCATTGGCTTTCTTTCTTTTTCTATAATTGTGCATTTGATATCTGCTACTTGAGCTGTCGTAGGGAAAGAGCATCTTGTCGAAAAGTTCGTTTTTAAGGTGAATTCTTTTATATGTAAGCCGTAAAAGTTACAAAATATTTAAACAGCAATCCAAAACTTTTTGCTTTCTATAATATCATTTACAACATTCAATTTTTTATTGAAAAAAAAGAAAAAAGAACTTCAATAAATTTACTATTCCAAAGGGAAAAGAAAAAGAAAAAGAACAATCCGACCTGCCGGATTCGAACCAGCGACCTAAGGATTTCAGCTGTCATACTACAGTCCTCCGCTCTACCAACTGAGCTAAGGTCGGTTTTGGTCATTGATCTCAATATTCTGATTATGTAATGTGGAAATTCTTATATTAAACATATGGATGCGTGCCACTCTGCTAGACATGAAAAATTCTGAACTTCTCGAGTGCCGGGCTTCATTCAATTACGCTGCAAAGTGCTCACAAATAGCAGGTTTAAATTTTAAAGCCTTAGCCTTTCAACCATGTCCAGAGACACAAAATATGAGGAAAATCATACATGGTACTATGCAAACAAATGGGGAAAAGAAAACCAAAATCTTTCATTAAACCAATCTCAAACCTTTACAATGAGTCGACCTGATGTTTGAATGTCACAAACCTATACAATACAGAAATAACTTATTATGTTCTTTCCCAGCCAAACACTAAAAAATATCAAATATCCCACCAAACCTAATCGACCACTTCTTATCTGTGAGAAAAAAATATATAATGCAACCAACTTATCATACACAAATTAATTAACATTTACATTCGAGGAAAAACTTTGTATGATCATATCCACCTTTTATGGTCAATGTGAACAAAAATGCCCAATAGAGGCAGAAACAGCTACTAAAGCAGCGCCTTCTGTTCTGGTTCAATGAATTCCTACCCTGTCTTGGATGCATGATGTGTCTTTTTCCTTCCCAAAAACATCCAAAACCGCGGGAAAAATGATTTCTTTTTCTTCTTATGGCTCTTCCCTTCTGGGGATGATTCAGTTTCAGTGCTAGTTTCCGTTACATGCGCTTTTGGAATCGATACATGCTCACCTGAGGCATCCGGAATTTTGTTGAGGTTAGCTTCTTTGTCTTTTTCAAAGCTCGCCCTTGGGCTTTTAACAGGGTTAGCAACTCCTTCCCCAGGTTCACCACTCTTTCGTTTTAGCTCATGTTCAGCTCTCCACCTCCTCAACTCCTGTTCTACACCCAACTTACCTTCCTTGGCCTTCTCAGCCTTGTCCAGTGCAATTTTTAGTGCCTCCCTTCTTGCAGCCATCTCTTGATTCACTTCTTCCAACTTCTTTGCAGTTTCCAATTCAGATTCTTTAGCTAACTCAATTTGAGATATTGCAGCTGCCACTCTTGTGTTGGCCTGTTCCTCTGCATCATGAGCTTGTTTGCTTAACTCGTAGTACTCCTCTAAAGAAAGCGTTATACCAGCCGGTGAGTCTGTCTCCTTGTTGCTTTGAGCTGATTCACTCTCTTGCAATGCTTTAATAGCTGCTAAAGCCAATTTTTCAGAAGCCTTAGCAGCCTCTATTTCTTTTTGAGCTGCAATCAATCTGCTCTCCATTGTACTTGCTCCAGCCTTTGCTTGTTCTGCTTCTTCCCTTGCCTTGCGCAGCTCTTCACGAGCCAATTGAGCTTGTTGCTTGGCCTCATCAGCTGCTTGTGCTGCTTGCTGCAGTTGCTTGGGCAACTCCATCATCTTCTCTTTTGCTTCTTTCTCTTTCATCTGAACAAAAGCTATTTCCGACCTAGTATTATCCAGCTCAGCTTCAATTGAAGAAACTGCTATAGATGCCATTCCTTCTCTTTGCCTCATTGTAGCAAGAGACGCTTTTTCTTTCTCGAGTTCCACTTGCAGTGATGTGGCAGCCACCTTCAAGCAGTTCACTTCATCATTTGCTTTCTCTATATTTAACTTCACCTCTTCAAGTTCCTTCTTTGCTGAAGCCACTGCTGCCTGTATCTCAGTGTGAGTTCTTCTCTCAGGTGCCTCTTGCTTATCTTTTGTGTTTCCTTCACCAGTTTCCTCCTTTAATTGAGATTCCATATAAGCTGCTAACTCAGCTTTCAGATCAAGTAGCAAAGCTGAAGCAGCGTCTAGTTTTGATTTCATATCCTTTGATAAAAGGATTTGTTGGTTAAGTCTCTGTAGCTCCTCTTCTGCCTGCTTCAGTTCCTTTTCCCAATAGAGGGAATCCTGCTCTCTGGCCATGGCTGCTCCTATTCTTTGCTCTTCTGCCTCCAAATGCGCAGCATGTGCAGACTCTAAAGATTCTTTAGTAGCAATGAGCTCAATTGTCAGTTCCTCCACTGTCTTCTCAACTTCCTTCGCTGCAGAAACAGCCTCTTCAGCTTTCTTCACAGCTTCATCTTTCTCAGCAATCAAAGAAGCATATTCTTTCCGCATTGTTGCCAACTCAGCATTAACAGCTTGAAGCTCTGAAAGTGCAGCTGCATGCCTGGCTTTAGCAACCTCAAGCTGAGCCTTGGCAGCAACACTAGCTTCATCAGCAATCCCCTGCTCTAGTTCTTCTACCCTGAGCTTAGCAAGTTCGGAATCCTGTTTTGCCTGATGCTCTTCTGTTTGAGCCCTCTCCAGGTTGAGTTTTAGCTCTTCGATAAGTCTTTTAGTACTGTCCAACTCCTTAAGAACTTGGAGTTTTGCCAGTTCAGCATCCTCTGACCGTTGCCTAAACTCGGGCATTTCTTCCTGTACCTTCTCTAGCTCTTGTTCCACTAGCTTGCGTCTCTATGGAGTCAGCAAAGAAATGTATTAGTTAGTATATGATATTGGCACAAACAAAAAAAGAAAAAAAGCAATGAGCGGAAGCAGATGAATGACTAAAATCCTGGTTCTGCACAAATTCCCAGGAAAGAAAGCCTTCTGCTTTCCAGGCACTCTAGCAATACTTTGAAAGAAGTACTTAATGAAAAAATTCAATTGCACATAAACCATTGTTCTGAACAAGTAAAGAGTGACATAATCTTGAAAACAAGCACGTAAAGGAACATTTCAGAGTCATTAGGTCAAGAATAATTTTAGAAAAGAAATCAAAATATTTGTTCTGGTGAAGAAGTGAACTGTTTTCCTTCAAAAGGATGTCTTTGCTTTTCCTGATATAGATGCTATAAATATCTCACCAGTGCACAATACTGGCAACAAGATTAATTTCAGGAACAGATGTCAAAAAGATTTGCTTTCTTCAAAGTGGTTAATATTTTTTCTTTCAAAAGTATATGTAATGGACTTTCCTTATATACTATCATCACATCAGTGAACAACAGTTTCTATCACAAATAACTTCAAACCACTGTAGCCACTATCCAAACAACTAACAAGCTTCTCCACCCCAGCTGAAATTAAGGCATTCCACACGTTGCAAGCTTAAAATTCCACTTGATTATCTTAATTGATCATAGACAATATAGAATTACTTTCCTTCTATTGGTACATCAAGCTCATATCTCAGATGCTCTGCCCCCTCGCCAAAGCCTATTTCATGTATCCACATTCCAGTTATTAAAAAAGCCCTTTTCAACAATCCTTTGTTATTAACGTGATTCCTGTTTATTATTTTTAACGACTCTTCTCAGTACATATATTTTCCAACCCATTTATGGAAAAGTCAAAACTCAGCAGAGGATTGACTACGGGACAAATTTCTTTGGGCTCCTACTTCTAGCGGCGCCTATAAGCTACCATCAAATAACATTCATTTCTTCCCCAAAACCACCACTAACCACAATCATTAATACTGTTAGAAATAAATTCACAATTAAATATCTATCTGACACACTAAGACTTCCTGCTTTGCATAAAAAGCAAGAAAGGTATGGAAGCAAAAATATATCTTCCTGCTTATTACCAAAACCATTGACGAGTATTTGGTGAAATTGTGCCTATAAAAGGTATTATTGTGAAGAAATGTAACAACGTTGATATTAACAATAACAGCATATCATATGTACCTCAACAGTTTGGATTTTGTGGGCTTTCCAATCTACAATTCCCCCAAACTTGGAAACAGCTTCTTTAACCGATTCAATAGGTGGTCTTGTATCAATAAGACCTCTACTTATGTCTCCCTGCTTCACATCTTTAGGTAATGTGGACGATGATGATGCTTTCACAATAGGAGCTGCAACTTTTCCATAGGGAGTGGCAGATACTTCTGTCTGCACTTTGACATTTACGTGAGGCAAATCAAGCTCATGAGATTGCAAGCCTGTATCAGGCGAGTAAGCAACAGGTATCACGTCATCTATATGAATGAGGGGACTATCAACACAATTATCTTCAGATTGCTGTATGTCGGAGGAATTTTGCATGGGTTCACTTTTTTCATGACATTTCAGTTCATTAGCAGAAGCTTGAATGGGTAAAGTTTTCTCTTGGTATTGCCCATTTGAAGATACCTGAATCATGTCAACTTTTTCTTGAGATTCTTGTGCCTTAGAGATATCTTGTGTCACTTCACTTTTTGAACCTTCCTTGACTAAACCTTCAACGTTTGTCTCTATCATATCAACTGATGAAGTTGACGCCATATCTTCTATTGGAAGAAGTTGGTTTTGACCTGAATTTTCTGCTGCGAGAGGCTGAGCTTGGCCTAGAACAGCGCTATCTAAAACACCTTTGACAGGTGCAGAATTAGAATTCTCCATTATTGATAACGTACTGTCGGGCTCCACCTTTCCATTAGTAATTGAGCTTATTGAGCCTTGAGTATGAGAATGATTATTATCTTGAGAGGATGACGAAGGCTCTGGTGGAGGCATAACTTCAGCAACTTTTACATCCTCCATCAGATAAAAGATTTAGTTAGGGGTCCCACTCCTGTTAGAAAACCATAAGAAACAAAATCTTAATTAGAAAAAAGATGAGCCAATAATCTCACAAAGAAGTTCAGCAGCATCAATTTAGGAAGTCATACCAAAACTATGTAAAATGCAAAATTGGAATGTGCAACCAAATATTGAAGCTGGCATCACTAATCATTTTATTTAATTTCCATCAAGCTCCTGTTAAGGAAAGATTGGATCCAAATACAAGAAACCTCAATCGGATATTTCACTAATGAGCCAAATTAAGTCTCCCAACAGAAAATAAGGATCATCAAGGTTGATACGGGTGACGAATTAGATGAAAACAAAGGAGTTAATGATTACAATGCAATGTACAATTCTAGTATCATCTATTAAAAACTGGGCTATGTGCATTCTCTTTGTTCACACATTTGGAACATCTTACAGCAAGAAACTAAATTGTCTAATTATGATTTGCAATAAATAAGACCAGAAATAACTTTAAAAACACGAGCATACATCTTTCTACCATCCCTCACCCAATTCCCAGCCAAATCACACGAAAGCAAAGATTTTTGGTTGTAAATTAGTCAATTAAGAAATAATAACCTCAAAGATAAGCAAAATAATGATTCAGAATTCCATTAATCCTACATTTGATCGCTTAAAATTGTTAGTAAAAATAATACAAATATCAAAACTGAAATAGCCACCATAGATGCCTGTTGATTAATAATTTGCTCACGAGCATAATGCGAAATCACCTGTAACTGAATTTAACCAATAAATCTAAATCACTGAACTAAAGCTTCATTTATGAATTCCCAAAAAACTGTTGGCCAGTTTTAAGAAATGAAAGTCAACGTAGAGATTTCAAATTCCCAGAATTCATGTCCAGTATCTTCAAAACACAACAAAAACGAGAATCAAAGTGCATATAATTGAATTCCAAACCTAAGCAAATGAAGCTGTTTCTACCTCAATCAACACATTAAAAAAGAGAAAAAAAAAGAAAAAAGGAGAAGGAGAGACAGAGAGAGAAACATACATACCAGGATTATCCAGAAAGAAAAAAAGGAGGAGAGAAAAAAGAACGAAATTAAGGATCTATGTTGAAATTAGGAGAAAATATATTGTGAAGAAATAGAAAATTAGTAAGGAGCTAAAAATAGGAACAGGAAGAGCGAAAAACGGAGAGAAAGAAAACACGTGCGTGGGCTGGAGCCTACCTCGTTTCAGTCTCACAGACTAGATCCATGTGTAAGCTTTCTCTTTCTCTTCTTCAAGATTAGATTTTTCCTTCTCTTTTTTTATTTTTTTAAATATAAATTTTCTGCTTCTTACTTTCTTTGTTCTTTTGTACTTATTTTTTATGGCCGAAGAATTGATTGAGGGTGGAAATTAGCAGTGGCAGAATAGTACTGGTGGTGGTTTTTTATGGAAAAATAAAAAATCATTATTTTTTATTAAAAATAAAAAGGAAAAAAGACCACCAACCAATGGCGTCGCAGGCAGCTAATCTTACCTCACCTAGTCTTTTGTTCTTTGTCGACCTTTTCTCCTTTTTTATTCTTTATTTTTTATTTTTTATTTCCTGTTCTAAACCTCAACTCGGATGGTCGGAAAACAAAAAAATAGGAACCTTGGGTTTATCCAGTTTGTCATTGCCAACGATGAGCGAGTGTAAATAAGAACTAGACTTTGTGGATAGTTATTAATTAGATGGCATTTTTTTGGATGATTCATAAAAGCTTACACTCTATTTTGAAGATTTAAGAGAATGAAATGAAGAACAGATGGATATAAATTAAAATAGATGACCAAAATTTAGAATTAAGGGTGCAAACTGTTAAGACTGAAAATTTCATGTATTTTTTTTTCAAAGGGCCTTCTTCACTAGGTAGCTTCACTACTTCAATATTTGAAAATTAATTAATATAAATACTTAAATCTATTAACTTTTATTTATATTATAACAAAAAAATTATAAAACACTAAAGGAGGTTGGGGTGAATACTGATCACTGCACCGTTCACTTTTGTGCCCCTCTAGCCAGGCGGATTCATGCAGCTGTGTTTTCACATTTTTGTTCTGAGTTGGTTGGCGGGCTGTGATTGTAGATGCGATACGTGGGTTTGAGCTTGGATGGTGTGATTTTTGTGTTTTTTTTGTTTTTTCTTTCGTTTACTTTCTTTTTCTTTTCTGTCTCTTTTCTGTGTTTTCTTTGTTCTTTGCTCAGCGAGGCAGCTGAGTTTTGTTTCTTTTTTATTTCCTTTTTTGTTTCTTCCTTGTATTATTTTTTTTCTGTCTGTATTTTCTTTGGTCGATTTCTTCTTTTCTTATTTCTTTCTTGTTTTCTTTTTCGTTTTTCTCTTCTTTCCTACTATTGCTTTCTTCTTTGCTCAGCGAGGTAGGTTTGTTTCCTTTCTTCTTTTTCGTTTTTCTTTCTTCTTTCTATTCCTTTTTTTTTTTTTTTTTTTTTTGCTCAGCGAGGCCAGCTGATTTTGTTTCTTTTTTATTTCGCGTTTTGTTTCTTCTTGTATTATTTTTTTCTGTCTGTATTGTTCTTTGGTCGATTTCTTCTTTCTTATTTCTTTCTTGTTCTTTTTTCGTTTTTCTCTCTTTCCCTACTATTGTGCTTTGCTTCTTGCTCAGCGAGGTAGGTTTGTTGATCTTTCTTCTTTTTTCGTTTTTCTTTCTTCTTTCTATTCCTTTTTTTTTTTTTTTTTGTCTTGTTTCCTACTAGATAAAAGGGTGCTTAAAAATCAAATAAAGATTTTCCTTTTTTTTTTTTTTTTTGTCTGTGTTTTCTACTAGATAAAGGTGCTTAAAAATCATAATTTTTTGTTCAAAATGAACACTTAATAAAGGGTGTTGCATAAAATTCTAACACTTTTTATATGTCTTACCATAAATGATTTCGTACAGAATATTACCATTTTTGCATATCATTTATAAATAAGTATGTCTTGTTGTATATCTTTTGATTTTGAAATTTTGAAAAAAAAAAAAATGGTTTAACAAATATGCAACACCCAAACTTGGAGAATATTAGAGTTATTGAAATGAATTTTGATTTAATTAGCAAAATATTCAGGTATGTGTTTGTATTTCAATTGTTAAAGTTATAAACGAAACAAAATGATTAATCTCTATTTCACATTCCTCCATTTAATCTTCTAGAATAAATTTCTAACAATTACTCAAGTTAGAACATACCGCAAGCCAAGTCAATGCAAAATTTTTGGTTTTCCAACAATTTAAAATATTTATTTTACTTCTTCCAAGATTAATCTCAATTTCAATATTTCATATTTTGCCTTTTAAATTTCCAGATTGCATTCTAGTTATTAAGAAATATGCAATGAGTCGATATAAAATTTTCAAATTTTCAAGCACCTGAAAATGCTCAATACTTCATGGGACTTAAATAACTCACAGACACAGAAAAAAAAAAATATAAATATTAAAATAGGTAAAGATTTAATTAATAACCTTATATTCTTCGGTTTGAAGACGTTGAATAATAGAATTGAATATAAAAATAATAAAAGTACTTTTTCACGTAGAAATTGTTGTTTTACACATATAAAAGATAGAATTATTTTTTAAAATGAAACATTAGTTTATGTATATTAAATTAGTTCTTAACGAAAAGGAAAAACAAAGCTTTCAATTTCTCAAACTACCATAAAAAACCTATTTTACTGTATTTCTAAACAATCTCTAAACTGATAAACCATTTTCTTTTTTTCTTTTTCTTTTTTGGTAGAACTCAACTGATAAACAATTTTCATTGGAAGAAGAATGTAATAATGCAGTCGTTTAGCATGGGGCGCGACACTGATGTGATTGTAATAAATATCAATTGTTGTGTTCTTAATAAAAAAATTAATGAAAAGAGTTTTGTAATAATTAATGGAATTATTTATTTATTTATTTCCTCAAAAAGCAAAGCATCTTCTGAAAAGTTATAGCCTACAAAAATCATCCACGGCATAAAGAACCTCCACCCAATTTCATAACAATAAAATAAGTAAACTGAATGTCCCCACCGTTGATATAAATCCCAAAGAAACGAAAAGCTTTCTCAAAAGACTAAAATACCCATGCCATATCATTTCCTTGTGTGGCCAATTTGGTAAATGAAAGGTCTGCACCGGACAAACGGTAAAGTCAAGGCCGAAAAAGACAGACGGCGTGAAATGACGGAAGTAGCCTTGACACGTTCACAGTTCCGTTACAACTAAAAGGATTCAGAATCTGACGTCATGTTGGAATTTGTGCTCCAAACTTGTCTGAAAGAAAGGAAATTGAAGTAGCAGTGTGATTGTGAAGTGTGAACCTTATTGGAGTGCCAATAGAAGATTTTGGAAATAATTGCAGAAAGTCAGACGTGGAAGGCCATTATTGCCTTACCTCTAAATTTGGACCAGTTTTGTTTCTTATAGGCAACCATATTCGAGTTTCTATTTTTTTTTTACCTCTATTTCAAATTAGGTACAAAAACCAAATGATGCTTAACCAAACCCATTTACCGGGACAGAAAATTTTTCACCATTTAACTTGTAATTTCTATTTCAACTCTTTATGAATCTCACTGTCTTTTAATAAATCTAGGATGTAATTTGTAATCATAATTGTATAAAAAATTATAGTATTTACAATCTAATATAGTTTGATCTAATGGTTGAAATATATTAAATATTACTCCAGTGATTACAGGATTGAATTCTAAAATCGGAATCTAAGATGATTAATCGCTCGTCTAACTGTTAAATAAAAGATGGGATAATGCCATACTATATATATATATATATATATCTTTGGCAGAAAAAAGAAAGTGCAAAAGGAAAAGGGATCAGTACATAACAGAGGTGAGTTTGGATGATGTCCATTTTGCAGCTCGTACCTTGGTGCAAAGTACAGTCCTCTTAAAAAGTCCATACAGCCCATTTTTAAAGCCTGTACTCAATTGGATTTGGGCTGACTATGGATAAAGATAATGTCACTTCGGGTCTTTGGTAATAACTTTTTAAACGATTTTTGGCGTTTTGATTCTATGATTTTTATAAAAAGTTAACTGATATAAGTTTAATTTTTTTATGAAAACCATCAATATCCGGACTCTATTATTAGGACTGTTTAATCCAGCTTAGGATCTAGTTACAGTTAAAGCTCCTCATCCCCTCTTTGTAAGTGTATTTAGTGTGGATCGAATCCGAGAGCTTTTTCTCCATGTCCAGCTTGCGCTGACAACTGAGCCACAACCCATAGATATGAAAGTTTAGCTTTTTAGTATTTTATGAAAAATTACTTAAATACTTAACAGCTACAAGTTATTAAAATAGCTAAGAGCTATAAAAAATAACTAATTTTACTCTAACAAATCCGAAATTAAAACTTGATTTGATTTCTTTTTATTACAAGCACAAGAAATTGAGATTGCCTTTTGTTTCCAAAAGGGAGGTTTTTCATTTTGAAAAAAAAAAAAAAAAAAGAATGATATGAAATATTCAATACTAGAGAGAAGTACTCCATAGTAGGCACGGCCACCGGTTCTGTTTTAATCGGAATCGAATCGTACTGTAGATGAACTGAAATCGGACTGAATGTTAAAATACATGTGAATGTTAAAAAATGAACCTGAACCGGCCCGAAATCGGTTCGGTTCGAACCGGATGCACAAACAAAATTTTTTGTAGCTTAAAATTTTTTATAAAAAAATTTATATCACTTTATTTGATTGTAATTTATTTGATTTATAGTAAAGAGAAATACACAATAGTACATAATTTATAAAAAGCAGTGAAAAAAAGTACACATAATTTGACTTAATTTGTAAAAAAATGGTACATGAATAGTTGATTTGTAAAAAAAATTTTATAAAAAAATTTATATCAGCTTTATTTGATTGTAAATATTATTGATTTAATAGTAAAGAGAAATACACAATAGTACATAATTTCAATAGTACATAATTTATAAAAAGCAGTGAAAAAAAGTACACATAATTTGACTTAATTTGTAAAAAAATGGTACATGAATAGTTGATTTGTAAAAAAAAAAAACTTTCATGTGTACAAAAAAAATGGTACAAACAGCTAGTTGATAGGTGACTTTTAATTTTTTTTTATTTTTGGTAAATAAATTGAATTATTTTTTATCATTTATTTATTTATTATAATTCACTAAATTATCCAAAAATATAGTTGTTGTTTTTCTGTTATAAGGGACAATTTGGAAATATAAGGGACAATTTGGAAAACTAATAAATGAAAAATATGTATAAATATAATGAGTTGATGATTTTTTTTTTTCACAACCAATTATATCCTAACTCAACTCTTATTCTCAATCAAAATTCTCTCAAATTTTCATAGTTTATTATTTTTTCTATTGCTTTATTTTCCTTAATATTGAACTTATCTATTGTTTATTTTTTTATTTTCATACATCCAATTCTAAATTCCTTCTAATCTCAATTTTTCCATTTATAAATTTACTTCATTTGATGTTTTTTTAATTTTCTTAGCATTTGAAAATAATAATTTTCAATTCATTTTAAAATTATTATTTATTTATGAATTTGGAATCAAAATTTTGTTATTTTTTTAAAAATTTGTGTAATACGAGAACTTAATCGGAATCTTAATTCGAACTGTCGGTTCATCGGAATCGTGTCAGAACCGTGCCGGACCCGGAGGCTCAAGGGTCGGTTCCGGTTTAAAATTTTAAACATCTTAAACCGGCGGTTCAATGAATCGGAACCGGCGATTCATTGAACCGGCATGCCTACTCGATAGTATGAAGTGTATGTATGCCTGTTTTTAAAATTTTAGAACTTTAATTACATGCAGAATATTTCTTTTTCTTTCTTGTTTTAAAAAAAGCAATTCTTTGTGTCACTTCTGGTTATAAAAGGATTCTTGAAATTCAAATTCATACTGATTTCTTCACCTTCACCTACTAAATACCATCTTTACCTACTGCTGATCATCACCTAAACATCATGTTCCTCATCTATACCTGCCCATAAACCTCCTTGCCATGCCCTTAATTGTGATTTGTGACTTAACCATTCTTCACTTCACTAAGCTTTGTTGCTTAATAATTAAAATGCCTTCAAATGAAAACCAAATAGAACAAAAAGATATAATCGTTGTGATAATAGCTTTTTATATTCGTGCAAAAACACAGTAATTTCAACTAGAAAATGGCAGCTAATGGCAAATTGAATATGACATTATTAAGAAATTAATTAAACATAGATAATTCTAATTATCCATTAAGTATCCACTACTTAATTTAATCAATTTCTATTTTCTCTACCTACTCCCATAAGATTACTAAACCTAATGGTTGTTGAGTTATATATATGTCGACTGTTACATGAATTAGTATCTGCATTTTAATTAATTTTCATGCGATAATTAAATTCCATATCAAATATATTTGTATATGGTCTAGTTGGTATACCTAAATAGATTTTTCCAACCAAACTTACCCTCTACCTTTCTTTTTCTATTATCTACAATTATTATAGCCTTGTAAGCCATCGTTTTCTTGTTCTTGCCTCTGTCTATAGCTTCTATATACAGTGATTTGATATATTAAAAAAAATTTTCTATATTGGTGTTGTCAGCTTGTTTGATGAATTTTTGTTAACTATTTTCTTGTACTAAACTCGAAAAGAGAAAGTAAAATTAGTTAATTAGGCTGAGGCATAAACTTCAAGTTATGTACAAAAATTGTAATGTAAGCGATTGATTTTACTTTCGTATTGATTAATCCCCTTTTAATCTAAATAGTTCAGTAGCTTAACTTCAAAGTTGTAATAGATCTTATGATATTCTTAGTTAGTTCCTAGCTTGATTTTGTTGCCAACCAAAATAACAGATTGTTTTCCCAAAACACTAATTCATTTGACTGATGGTATAGCTTTTAATTAGAAAATTAATTTATCACTCGTAAATATCAATTTGATTCTTTATAAGTCCCCGCAATCACTAGATTAGTTCATACTGATTCAGGAGCGTTAAAATTGAAAATGAGAATAAAACATTGATCAAACACTCAGGTATCTCGGCTGCTTACCACTAAAATCGACAATTCATGACATAATGATAATATATTTTACCTGTCCGATTTCAAATTTTCAACCTCATACAAGACTAAAAAGATACATTTTCTTGAACCTAATGTAATTAATAGGCTTAATGTCTTCTTCCTAAATCAAACAGTTGACTAAACTATGGGGTATTGGCATAGTTTTCTCCGAAATCTTTAGTCGTTAGCTCTTGTATGGCCTTAATCAAGGTGTTTATTTTAATTAATTTCTTTCTCATAAGTGATGGAAAAAAGTCTATTCTTCGTTTACAATAATAGGGGAAAATTTTTTAATTTCAATAAAGAAAAGTATCCTATATCGTCACCAAAAATCGTCCTATGTGTTTACCTAATGCGTGGTTTCCCATGACCAATTCTTTGGGTCAATGGATAATAAATTAATTAATTAATTTTCATCTCAAATTTTAATTGACAAAAAGCAATGCACATCAAGATAACCTGATAATAGATCTAGGTTCGAATCATTTTTTTAATATTAAAAAAAAAAAAAATACAAAAAGAAGCCGTCCATGAATAACATAAAGGACATCAAATTGTTTATCAATTGCTCTTTGGATAAGAAAGAGAGAAGGTTTAGGGTGAAAGGTTCTTTTGACAAGTGCATACTAAGTGTTCGACGAAATGGATAAACTATGACCTATGGGGGTTGTATTCCATGAATTTAGCAAGGTACGGATATCATACAAGTAAAGAATTGCTAAAGCATTGGCACCATGGCAAGACACAACTGGTAGATATGAGCTTAATTTGAAGAAGAAATGTAATTAGCTAGAGAAAGTACTCCATATCATATATATCTACTGAAACCTATTCACATATAACTTACATGGAGAAACATTCCATATATAGTAATAATAGCTCTCTATACAAATACAAAATTAGGTAAAAAGTTAAAAATAGTAAAAGAACAATAAAAAATCTTGTTACAATTTATCTACACGATCAAATGTTTACGTCGAGAATCTGTAATGTTTATTTTCCAATGCTCATCGCTGAATCCCATTTTTCTAGCCATCTTTCTATCCCAGTCCAACTCTATTCTTCTCTGCTTCGTTAACCCACAAAATTTCTGCAACTTCTCGTCCATTCCATCGTGAAATTTCCACCATCTTTTATGCGCAACATCACTTGCATAAACCCTTTGATCTCCAATATTCCAATTACAATCATAATCTCTGTAACAATTCCATGGCTTTAACCCTAAATAATGTATTGAATAAACTTTTGGTGGGTCTGCTCCAAATAGCTCATTTTTTACACTTGCTTCCAGCGTAGTATTAGCCCAGAAATTCTTTAAAAAATTTACTCTTCTTGGTAATCTATGCCACCAAACAAAAACTTCATTAAGAAACCCTTGATCACCTCCGTTATATGAAATAATATCTTTACGTCTGTCCATTAATAATTTAAATGTGCAATTTGATGGCTCTATAACCATAATCCCAGAATTAAAGATCCAAATATCGTTGCCTGTAGCGGACATTTGAGGAAAGTGAAAGAGAATGTCGAGATTACGTAAAACTATAATGTCTGCATCTATGAAAATGATTTTGTCGTAATCTGTTAGCTGCCATAACCTGAACTTGCTATAGTTGTATTCGTTGTAAGAGTGTTTTTCAGCTCGCGGGTTTCGGATTCTTTTAATGATTCGGATCTTCCACCCGGCTGCAGCAAGAGCCTCGCGCTTGGGCACGGAGATTGATTTATCCAAGAGAAGGATAAGGTCGCGCTTGGTGCCGGATTGGCGGAGGCTTTGAGCAAGGGCTATGGCGCCACAGACGTAGGATTCGGAGGAATGGAGGACTGTAGCGTAGGCCTCTCTTTTGGGTTTTATTGTCGTGCTTTTGATCTTTGAGAGGTCATAGACTTTGTCAATACCTGTAAATCAATTAATGCTTGTTGTTATGCTGTTTTAAATTTGTTACAAATAATATGAAAATAAAATAATTCTTCCTTTTAAACTATATATATAAATGCATCGAACATTTTCACTAATTAGTTCATTTTTTTATTGAAATATATTTGCATGCAAGAAATGAAATTGACGTGAAGACCACTTTTTGTATGATGATGAAGAATGAAAGTATTCTTACCCTCACAATATGATCTAATATGGAGTTCAACTTTCAATGTTTCTTTCTATTATCTATTAATTGATTGTTATTTGTTAATTCCCTAATAATAACTAAAAGAAATCCAAGAAATCATGATGTTTAGTGGTACCTATACATTTAAAATAATAATAAAAAGACAACTAAAGCACAACTACCAGCATCATTATAATAGGTTTATTATTAAGCAAGCAAAAATTTATCCTGTAGTTGTTGATTAGTCCACATAGATAAATCTTTTACCATCACAGGTTAGTTGCTTTGTCTCTGTCTGTGCCTGTCACTGATTATGTCTATTTGATTTGTAATTTGATTGGCATTAAAATTAATATATAGCGCCTGTAGCTCAGTGGATAGAGCGTCTGTTTCCTAAGCAGAAAGTCGTAGGTTCGACCCCTACCTGGCGCGTTAATTGTTTTTTTGATAATTTTTCCTTCACAATTTAATGAAAATGTACTGTATTTTAGAAGAAGAATTACATACCTTGAGCCCACAAAGGCATAGCCAGCTTGCAAGACCCAACAGGCAATGAAACCTTCTGCTCAAGCTTTGACATCTCTGGCTCATAGAACCACCAATCACCTTCTTGTCTCACCAAGTCATTACATCGGAACAGCTCCAACATTGGCCGGCATTTACTCCAAAACACCACTTTTGTCTTCCTATTCCAACCCCTTCTCCCGTTTTTCACTGCCAAATTTGCTGCGACAAGATGTACTTGAAGCCTCAGCACCTCTCTATTCCACAATTCTTGAGGATACTTGCATGGCAATTTTGCAACTATTACGTCCATATCACTAAAAGCTTTAAAATCTGGCATTGGTATCTCTGGACATGATGTTCCTTCAAGTTCTTCTTCTTCATCTATCCATTCAGGAAACAAATCTTCCCATTTAAAATATTCGGATACTTTTTCAAATTGGATAGTTATAGTCTCTCCGTGTATTTTCCAATCACTAACATCATTTTCATCAAAATTTACCATTCCAATTTTCATTCCTCTTCCCATTTTATTCATAAAGCTTGGCACCTCAATCCTTGTCATATTTCCTTTTGGCTTTGGTGTATCAGTTTGTGCCTTTTCCAGAACTGCTTTCATTTTGACACCATTTTCCACCTACAAAATCCAAGATCATGTCTATAATAAGTTCTAACATTCCAGCCAAGTGAAATTACATATTAGTTTGGAAAAAAATAATTAAAAAAAAAAAATGATAAGGCTCACCTTACCTTGGGATGATGGCATTCGCGCAATGAGCACCTAACGAGTGAAGCTGCATTATCAAAATAGACCGAAGAAGAAGGACGGAGAAGAAGAGCAGCATAAATAACAAGAAAGAAAGCAAGAAAAATCAAGTTGATTCTAATAACCAGAGCTTTTGAAGGAGTGGTTTTCACCATCTTTTGAATGCTGAGTCCCTCGGCCATCTTTATCCGTAGCTAAAAATAAAGTGTTAGACCTCAAAAGGGGACTTTGCTTAGCACATATATATCTTAACCACCTTCTCCAGTTTTAAGTTTATTTACAGTAATTAATCATGAAGATTAATTAGCAGTTTTTAAAGTAATTTTCAGGGCGTAGTAGTTGGAGGATTAAGAGTGCGTGTAAAACTCTAAGGAGGTGGAGACCATTTGGAGAGCTCCAAGTGGCGTTTATATAGTGCATTTCATTTCGTTGCCTTGCAGACAAAAAAGGCCGGATAAAATAAAGCTTTACTTCTTTCCAACACTGTTCGTGCCAAATAATTCTAGGTTTATCTTTTCCAAATTCCTAATATGCCCTTCATTTGGCTCAAACAATTACATTGGACCACTAATGTTGTTCGATTTTTGGTTGATCTAAAAATATATTTCCCACCAATAAACATATGGTTCCTAGCATTTGACTTCTCAACTTTAAACCTAAAAAGGTTGCTGTCTATAGAAAATAATAATTAATAATAAATAACAATAAGGTCGCTCTCTTAATCATCAACATTTTAAAAAAATAGAATTTAAAAAAAATAAAAATAAAAGGTAAGCGGTAGCAGGGTTAGGAATGTAATTACAGAATCTTCCAAGAGGCAAGCTTAGAGGCCAAGCAGGCCCCGCCAACAACTACTTGGTTGGGCCGTCAACCTCCTACATGCAATGATATGTCGCTGTTGTCCGTTAGGAATTTCATTTGTTTGTTTTTAAATTTTTTTATATCACAATAATAATGTTTTTTTTTTTTATCTTTTATGATGTCCAGAATCTTAATTAATGATAATAGAAAAAGGTTTTGGTAAGATATCAGTATTCAACAACTCATCAAAATGATTTGGGATCATGTTTTACACGACTAAAACTCAAAGAGTATGGTGAACTATCAAAAAATTTCGACATGTCGTTTTATTTGATAATTACACTGAATATAATAAGGCAGATTGGCTAATTAATTGATTAATTATATCATGATTATTATAATGAGAAATAATGATGGGGCTGAATGCGTGGTGGTTGGGTTGTTAATTTTTTTAACCCGTTCATCTTGAGACAGGATAATAACTTACTGCATAATAAATCAAGATAATACTCTCTTACCATAACCATACTGGGTATCCAAAGATGTTTCAAAATGGATATTTACTTTTCATTTTAAATTAATAGTAAATTTTATCTTACCAAATTTTGGTTAGTTCATGATCTTTGCAGAGTATACTAAACTAGCCTCTGTTTGGTTTTTATATTGTTTTGAACTCTACTCCCCTTTGAATCGAATAAGTATACATATACATATACATTATGGTAGAGACGTACGAAGCCACAACTCACAAGTACTTGGAAATCTCAGTGATGCCACAACTTACTATATGGTAACAAATCTTCCACACCACTAATGAACAGCTTTTGTTTTATGAATACAAGTTCCCACTTCCCCTAAAATCATACTTAAACCAACGACTGCTGAAGGAAAATCAATTTTCTTGTCTCTTCTCCACTCCATCTCATATTTATTTAATTGGGAATATTGGCCGGCTCTCTATATCTGCATCATTTTTTTCCTTCCCTCTTGGGAAGGTGGTCAAGAATTTCGTTGTTTCTAGGTTTATATTTTTACAGTTACTACTAGCAACCACGAAAAAAAAAAAAAAAAAACTCAAAGGGAAGGAAAAAAGGAGCACGGCATAAAAGCATTTTAGCACTTGCCATAACTATTGTTCTCACCAACATCGGTAATAATTACTAATAAGTTTGATGCAGCGATTGAGGTCTTCAAAATTACAGTCTCTACCAACAGTAGCTAACTGAACCCACAATAATAATGGCAATGGAAGGATTACAGCAGAATGATGGTCAAAAGTGATTCCAATAATGCCATGAAAAGGTTACTCCTTGATACCCACCAAATCAATTATCAATTTAGCAACATTGCCGGTACGAGGTTGACAAGCCAGAGAATCATGAAAAATGTGCACCGTCATATAGCTTTTTTTTAGGGCATTATATGCCTCCACAGATATGTCAACAAAACTTCAACTAGAAACATGTCATCTAAAATACAAATAGAAGTGAAAGAAACATTTGGAAAGAATTGCCATTCCATAAGTGATGAAATCATGACAATCTCTTGATAATATTTCAAAGCAGCAGCATTTTGATACTGTACAGACAGTAAATTAAGTTTACACTGACCTCTTTTACTGAATTGAATGTTAGTCCATTTTCTTATTCCTTTTTCAAAGTGACATCGTATCTCTTCTTTATACCTCAAGGCTACTCCAGACCACATCTGTTAGAGGAGTTATAAACTGTGTGAGACCTTATATCTAGGTGCATGCCACAGAGACAAGAAAAAGGTTGGAGAAAAGAGGTAATACACTTAGATATGATGGCCAACCTGCTTAAACCATGTTCGCCGCTTTTTGATTACTTTCATATGGTCTGCTGGAGTAACACATGCAAGCAATTCATCATACCTTAACTACCTCTTGAAGGTGTTGAGAGTGACTTTTACCAGGTGGGATGAAAATCAGATCTTCCCAGCCTGAGTTCTTCTCACTCATCTACATCAGACCAAAGGGGTACAAATTCAACATGCAATTTGCTTTTTAAGAGATGTACAATTGATTTTATAATCAGATCCATTACCTCCATTTTTCTCAGAACGTCCTCCAAACTTCCCACCTGATCAAACAAATTGAATGAAATAGAGAGATATATGCAAGCTTAAATACTCTTCAATGAGAATCTTAGGGTTGAAAGCATTGATTATAAAACAATGGGCTTTACCATCAACCTAGTTGATTTCTTCAGCTTTATCAAATAATTCTCATTTAAGTAGTTACAGTGCAGGCATGTATTTGTATGTCTAGGCACTGACAAATTCATTGTACTAATCTTGTGAAATCACACTTTGTAAATGAGAAAATTGAGGGAAAGGGGATTGTTCTGTGTTTTGTACCATAATATGCTGAGAAAGACCCAGTCCTCTTGGTGCCCTTGAAACCTTTGACAGTTCTTTTTCTATATCTTCCTGCACCAGCAGAAAGAAGATAGCCAGATATCAATGCAGCCATAACTACATCCTACAGGATGAGTGCTAAGAAAATGCAATAGCATCCATGGGGAGCTCAACGAGTAAAACATACCTTCTGGAAATATATTGGGCAATAACGCTTGTTTTTCTTCTTGACAACAAGAAGTTCTGACTGCAGATAGAGATAGTTCAAGAGACAAGAATAAACTGTCATAAAATGATACATTCACACACAAAAAAAAAAAAAGATATATCCACAGAGTATAAACAAATAGAGGCGTAAATGAGTCAAATTATTGGAACATGGTTGCAAAGGATTCAAATTTGACTATATTTTAATCAAGTCAAACTAATTGGAGTATTACAATGCTCGATCTCAACTGTCTTGTGTGCTTAAATAAACAATATACTATATGAGCTTGAACTGAAGACTTCTCAAGCTATGGGAAATTTCAACTCAAGAGTAGTAAATAAGTTGAGCTAAATTTTCAAAAGTATTAAAATTCAAGTATGAAAAACGAAACTTAATTGCACTTCACAGAGAACTTAAAACCATGAATTTTGTAATAGAGGCAAGTTCCAATTGTTAACTGCAGTGACTCTACTTGGATTGACCCCAACCACCCAAACCCCACCCCCCAAAAGCAAACACCACACACAAACACAAAAGAAAAAGCATAAAAAAAAATAATAATAAAGAAAGAAACTAGTTGGAATCCTAGCACATGCAACCTAGATGGCCACTGTACCTGAAGAACATACATGTCAAACCAAGCCCCAGTATGTCCTCATACATATGTGCATGTGTCAACTGTATTCGTCATGCATTATGGAATTAGTGGTATTTGCTTCACAGATCAAACAAATGAGCTACGACATGCTTCTATTTTCAGTTTCAGGGATGGCCTATATGTGCAATAAGTTTCACAGCATACCTGGAAAACAGGAACTCCATCAAAACCGCTCTTGATGCCAGCAGCTTTCAGCTGATAAATAAAAAAGGTTATTATAAGTATTACTGTAATGTAGTTCAGCTGGTTGGAAGGAATATAAATATGAATGTTGCAAACATAATATTATATGTGAATTGTTACGATGACACCGTTTTATAAATTCTAACAGAACCACGGAGGAATCTTTTGGTCAAATCATCCCTCCCCCCACAACCAAAATGACAAATAAACCCAATGAGTTTTATCTTGTTTCCACATAATAACTGTAAGAACTGACCTCTAATGCGTTCTTTATTTGAACTGGATCGGGCAAAAACCGAAATGCAATTCCCTCAACTTTCAACATGTATACCTATAACATTCAAGAAAGAAGATTAAATGCATAGTTAAAATAGGAGAAAGCAAACAATTTATGACTACCTGCAAAGGAATTGAATAATTTGCATGAATATGAATAACAAAATTGATGGTAACGAAAGCATACACTATACAGTAAGTTAAAGCCATTCATTTAGCCACTGAATTTGGTTATCAACTGTAGTCTCTAAAGAAATTTGCATAGCCTAGTACAGTATTCCTATAAATAACCTGCGGAGATGGCTTTGAGAGAAAGACGTATTGCATTAAGCAACGCTAAGTCTAGCAAGGAACAGATTGCACTGTGTTGAACAGAATGCAAGAAGACTTGTCAACACCTGAACTAACTAATTGATTACTTTCAGAGATAAGATAACCTTTCAAATGACTAACAATCATTCTCAGAGCAACAGAGCAAGTGTATGTAACTTATCCATTGAATTGGTATTATCCAAGGTATTATACGTCCCAAATCACCAGAATTCTTGGTCCAGTATGCAGAGACTCGGCCTATATCACCATTTAAATTTTCAAAATGTACAATGCACTTAGATACGCCTATTACCTATACACAGAAAAAACCAATGTAAAAACAGAAATAGCTACCTGATCAAGAGTAATAGGCACAACCTTGGCCTCACTTCGCAATTCTCTTCTCCGCAACCGAACCTTAACAAATTTATGCGAAAAAGAAAATGTCAGCACAAAAAAATGCAGACCATCAGAATTTACTCGTTTACATAGACGCACGCATTTCTAAATACGTATGTTTATACAGCTACTAACCTGAGCGAGAAAGGCTTCGGCGTCTTCCTGGCGAAAGCAAAGCAAGCTAATTGACTTGGCTCCATCAGGATCAGAGATAAGCACGAACTCATTGTTAGAATTGCTCACTGTGTAAACGGCCGTGCCGGCAAGGGTTTTAGCCACGTGGTCTGAGCTCAAAGTGGCTGCAGCTGCAGAGTGCTTTGGCTGCGATACAGAGGCGAATAGCGGCGCCGGACAGAGTAGCCTGTTAGTAGGCCGCCGCTGGAGGTTGCAGGCTAGGGCTCGAGTTGTTTCACCAAACCGAGTGGCGAGCTCCGCGCCTATCCGGAGGCAGTTCTGGTGGATGAATGTAGAGAACGATAAGAGAGGGTTCGAGGGTGTAGAGGGTTCCATTGTTAACGGCAAGGGAATAGAAGCAGACCGGACGGTGAGTTCGATTTATGCCTGAGCATTCAGGGAATGCAAAAGGCACAGCTATACAGGAATGATATATAGCACAGTCCAACAAATAGGAAGGTGCTGTGGACATGATTTTGAAGCGCATATGTTCCTGATATTTAATTTTAACTGGGCTGGGCCTTGTCCATTTCGACCTCTAGATTAACTGGGCTGGGCCTTTTCTTTCGTTATCTTTGCTTCTACTTTTTGCCTTAAAGGGATATATATAGCCAGTGTCACAGACATGATTCAGATGGCCGCCTCTGCTGCTGCTTCTTTCTCACAAACAAGACAAATTCGCAAATTGGTCAAGGTTAATATATTTTTCCCTTAAATATTAAACCGCATTTTAATATATAAATGAATATATATTTTATATTAATTTGTTTTAGATACACTAAAGAATAAATTAATTCTTATACACACAAGAACGATAAATGTAGAATTACAAATGAATAAAGCAAGCCAAAAATAAAAAATGTGAAATAAATATTACAAATGAGTTTCCAACTACTTGCCTCAAATGATGCTGGCTCAAATATAAAGAAAGACTAAGCTACAATACATTTTATATATAATATCTATAGATAAAGAAAAATACAAATTTATATGCCTATAATTACAAAAATATTATTAAAGAATTGCTTGTTAGTTGTTTCATTTCATCAAATGACATTAGACTCCTAAAAAATAATAAAGAAAGACTTGGCTATATTAAATTCAATCTCCTTTGACTATAGGCATATAATATTAAAAAATTACAAATATGACATGGACTTTATTTATAGTGGGAAAGTATTATTTCCAGATCTCCTCCAGCATGTGAAAAGCAATTTTCATTAATTCAAATCATATTATATAATGTACTAATATAGCCACATTAATTCATCAGGGATAATTGAGGTAGAGAGAAGAAAAAATGGAGCAACCCTTCATTGTAGCAATAATAGATCATTCAAGCAGTAGGATATCTCATGAATTAGCGAAATCCCTTCAATGTCCTCTTATTATTGAAAGCGATATCACCCAAACCCTTCAAAAGCTATCCCTTCCAACCTCCTCTAATGAGCTTGCAGACGATTTACCGTTTGAAATTATTTCTCAATTGGCTTTAACCCAACTCGACTTGAAGCTCAGCGTAATCATCAACCTGTTGCTATTTAATGATGCCCGACTCCATAAATGGGTAGAAGTTGAGCGTTCTGGGAAGGCGCGTTTGATCATCATTCAAGGTGAAACTAATAATCATCACAATGATTATGATCGAGGATACATTTTGAATGTAAGCATCAATGGAAAGTCATTTGATGTGAATGAAGTTGTCTACAAAATTAGGTCAAAATTACTTCCTCAGCCCAAAAAAGATGATGATGGTGTAAGAAAAAACCCAGAGGGGCACGACAAACTTAGCAAACCACCAAAAAAATGACCATTGACATGTACCAATCTCATCTGAAGAACCAAGAATGAATGGTGTCCAATACAAAAGTTGCTCGAAATTTGTTTCTGGCCCCTCTTATAAATGTGTAGAGTGTGATGAATTCACCTTTCATAAATTATGTGCTGAGTCATCTCCAAATATAGAGATTTGTCCTCCTTGTTTTAGGGAAACAAACCCTAAGCAATATGACTATCAACAGTCATATAAATGTAACGATTGTGAAGAATTTTCAGATGATTGTCATGATTGCCTCTTCCAAACCAACCTTAACCGTGGTTTTTTGCCTCCTATTGTTCCTCGTCAAATGCATCAACACTTAATTTCATTATCATGGCCGTGAAGTACAATTATCAATATAAATGTCGTATTTGCATTAAACCGGGCAGCTCGGTTGGCTACAAATGTATGATTGCAATTATAATGTTAATTGATATTGTGGAATCTGTATGGTTTCATTGGTTTCTCCATTGACGCTAAATCATGGTCTCGTGAAGTTGCGTTGGAGAAGCATAATTGCCATACATGCCATAGAAAAATAGAACCAAATTACCAACCGTTTTATTGGAGTAAGGTGTGTCATTTAGCTATTCACATGGAGTGCATGAGACCAGACCTCAGGAAAGTTGGTGTCTTTTTCTCTATCTCTTTTGAGAATAACAATTCTATTAGTTTTAAAACATCGATTTTTGTCAGATGTTGTTCTGCTTGACTAATCAATTTTATGCTGTTGTAGCAAGTACCCATTGCTATAGGGACTTGGGGTGGTCAGGGAGGAAGTTGGTGGGACGACGGAGTGTTCTGCACGGTCACAAAGTTGGTGATAACTCATGGAAATATTATTGAAGCTATCCACATTGAGTATGAAAGAGAAGGAGCCTTAATTTGGTCAGAGAAACGTGGTTGAGTTTTACAAACCCATGAAACCAAGGTTAGTCACTTTTTAGTATTTTTTTTCTTGGAATCAGCTAAAGAGCTTGATTTATTTACTTTCTTGCTTGCTGCCATTTTTTTTGGCAGGCGGAGCTTGATTACCCAGATGAGTACCTTACTTCAATCCATGGACACTATGGTAGCTATGCTGTAATGGGAGCAGACAATTGTGTTCGTTCACTTAGTTTCGAAAGCAACAGAAGAACATATGGACCATTTGGTCAGGAGGAAGGAACGTACTTTTCTGTTCCCATGACTGAAGGCATGATCGTTGGGTTCTATGGCAGGAGTAGCCATATTATTGATGCAATTGGTATTTATTTAAAGCCTGTCCATTAACATAGGAGCTCCAAAGGGCTTGTCCAAGCCTGAGTTTTGGCAATGCCGGGGAAATATTGGCTACTTTGTGATACGAGGAACGATAGGCAACAGTTAAAGGAGGCAGGATAATTTTTCATGTCAAAGATAGAATGTTGGATGATAAAAATAGTAATATTTAAGTTCGTATTATTTTTCTCATTATTTAATTTATAATTTTTTTATCATGAATGATGTTCATCGCGATTCAAACTAATAGCTTTAATTTATAAATGGATAATGAAATTAAATATAACAAGTCAACTTTAAGGAAATGATAAATAAACTATAGAAAAACTACTTAATTGCCTCAAATCATGCAATATATAATAAATGGATGGGTCTTATACTTCAATTATTAAGCCTCATGGAAATAATATTGAAATTGAAAATTCAAGAAAGTAGCGGAAAATACAAACTTTTATGCATATAACTCCTAAAATCTTGATAAAGAATTAGCTATGGCCAACAACTTGTTAGTGGTTTCATCCAATGACTTTAGGCTCTTCAAAAATATATTAAAAATACACAAATATATGACATGGACTTTATAGTGGGAAAGTATTATTTCCTGATTTCCTCCAGCAAATTTTCATCAAGTCAAATGTTTGCCGAGAGAAGATTCCTAACTGCAATATATGCCTAGACTTTGTCTTGCATTTCCTCATCTTCTCATTCTTCCCTGTACCAGATTTTGAAGAAGATATAAAATATATAATTAATCATGTAATAATGTAATTATTGTAAATTTACGAGATGTATTTTCATTCATTTTATTAATTTTGTCCACAAGCAAGATTATAAACAATATCTCTACAAGTAAGATTATAATCTAGATTATAAGCCCAAGTTTTAGTTTGGAACAAGATTTTCGAAATTTGGCAGTATGATTCTAGCAGGTAGGAAGTTAAATTTTCCACTTGTGTGTTTCTTCATTAATCTTTTATTTCCACTATGGGTTTGTGAATTTTCTTCCTACAATTGTCTTTTTGACAGATCTAGATCTAGCTTATGACTTACTGCTTGAGCTAATTAATCCTTGCGGGTTCTTTATTAATTTTTTTAAATGCAATAATTTATTTCTTTTGCTCAATCTAATTCAGAATTATAATTTGTATAAATATCAAGCTGATTAACTTTTCTAACAAGCTAGCTATGCTTAATTTTCAGTTGTTAGCGGCTTGATTTACATAAAGGCAAGAAGAAACATGGAAATATTTGCTTCATCAATCAGGAAAGCATGGAAGGAGTGGGAGCTGCGCGTTCAGGTTCTAATCAGCCTCATTTTGCATATTACTTTTTTATGGAAATCGCGGGAAATATTCAAAGAAAACATGGACCCAAGTTGTGTTATGGTGTGCCTACTTGATGGCCGATTGGGTAGCAACAGTTGCCCTTGGAGTGCTCTTGAATGACCTGGGAGATGTGTATGAGGAGAAAAACGGTAATAAATTCAATTTAGACGCAAATACAGAGCTTAATGCATTTTGGGCGCCATTTCTTCTGCTGCACTTGGGCGGCCCTGATACTATCACTGCATTTTCTTTAGAAGTTAATGAATTGTGGTTAAGGCACTTCCTTGGATTTGGAGTACAAACAGGAGTGGCACTGTATATATTCCTTCTGGCCTGGACAAGTTCTCTGTCATTCTAACCATGCCAATGTTCTTGGCAGGAATTATAAATTATGGAGAGAGTACATGGTCGCTTAGGTCAGCAAAGCAATGAGGAACTAAGAGATTCCATGATTACTGCTCCAGATTACTCCACGTTAGTGGAGGAATTCACTTTAAACCAATGGGAAGGTTCTATGTAGTAGCAGATGAAGTAGTTGAGGGGCAAGTGACAGTGGATGTTTCTCCAATGGAAGACAAGTCCATTGAAGGTGAAATTGCATTGCTTAAAGCTCATTACTTGTTCAAAACTTTCAAGCGTCTTTCTTTGTTGATCTCATCCTCAGTTTTCAAGATCGGGACATTAGCCAATCCCTGTGCAGTCAAATATCCTGCGAAGAAGCTTACGAAGTTATCGAGATTGAACTGGGATTCGTGTATGATTTGCTCTATAATAAAGGAACAATAATTTTCACACGTAACGGCTGTTGGCTTCGGTTCGTCACTCTCGGCACCACCTGCATTGTACTGGTCTTTTTACTTTATCCAACAAGCAAAATTGCTCTGAGATTGATGTAGCCATAACCTTCCTGTTGCTGGTCATAGCTGTTGTTCTTGAGCTATTTGCATTGCTTTTGCTAGTCTCCACAGATTGGACTGATCTTTATCTGCCTAAGCAGAAAAGAGTTATCCGCCAAGCCATCTCTCATGTACGCCTGCGTAGACGTAGAAGATGGTCAAACTCT